AATTTCAAATGCCCTGTGGCAGACACCGGCCTCATTGGCCCCTATCTCTAAGAAAGTGGAACGCAAGTACTTTGTACCCACCAAGAGTACTTGTATACCCACCCGGCGCCCAACTCCCTGGTGGTTGAGTAGGTCAACCACAGGGAACGGCAGGGTCAACCAGCGCCGACCCCCAAGAATAAAGACACTCAGAGACTAGACTCTTTCGGAAGGAAAATTTATTAGTCTTCGGGCTTCCAGTTGTGAGTGGCAAATCATCAGGCTCTCCTGCGCCGGTACGAATTCAATCTGTGGGGCTCCCTGCCCAAGTTTGAGGACTCCCTCCAGGAGCACGATAGAAAGGAGTTCAAGGCGCTTGCAAAGGAGGGGGCAGCGGCCACTAGGGCGTCCCTGCAGGCAGCCTCGGATGCTGCGGATACAGCCGCACGATCCATGGCCTCCGCAGTGTCCATGAGACTGGCGTCATGGCTCCTGCTCTCTGGGCTTTCCAGCGAGGCGCAGTCCTCTATGCAGGATCTCCTGATTGACGGGAAAGCCCTGTTTGCAGAGGAGACAGATACAAGGCTGCACGGCATGACACATTCCCGCACAACCCTCCAGACTCTGGGCCTATATGTACCGGCTCCGGCAAGACCTAAGTTCAAGCTGCAGCAGTTTCCTGCCCAGGCCGTCCTCCCTGAGTATGAGGCTGCCCACAAGAAACAGTGAGACTATAAGAGATGCCCTCAGAGGCAGTCTCGGCCAGCCCCCCAGCCTGGTTGCTCTAAGGGCAAGCAGGCGGGGAAAAGGTGCTTTTGATGGGCAGCTCGGGGGGACCCCGCCAGTCCTCATCAGGGATCCACCCTCAATAAAGCTCCCCTTCTCCAACTGGTTGTGTGCTTTCCTCCTGGAATGGTTGTGGCTAACCTCGGACCGATGGGTCCTCAACACCATCTCCCGGGGTTACACCCTCCAGTTTACTTCCTCCTCGCCCAACAACCCCCCTCCCCCATCCCTATTGGGGGACCCCTCGCACGAGGCTCTGCTAGAGCAGGAGGTGGGGTGGCTCCTAGAACTAGGAGCAGTAGAGGCGGTGCCCGAGGAGTTCATGAGCAAGGGGTGTTACTCCCAATACTTCCTTATCCTGAAGGCCAAAGGGGGGCTCAGACCCATCCTGGACCTGCAAGGTCTGAATCAGTACATGGTGAAACTCAAGTTCCGTATGGTTTCCCTGGCCTCCATCATCCCCTCCTTGGATTCCGGGGACTGGTATGCTGCCCTCGATCTGCAGGACACGTACTTCCACATCCATATATTCGAGGGGCACAGGCGCTTCCTCCATTTTGTGGTTGGACAGAATCACCACCAGTTCATGGTCCTCCAGTTTGGTCTATCCACTGCCCCCAGGCTGTTTATGAAATGCATGATGGTGGTAGCTGCCTACCTCAGACAGCGGGGGCGGGGGTCCAGATTTTTCCCTATCTGGACGATTGGCTGGTCGCAGGTGAGGGATCATGTGGCGCTCCTACTGTCCACGTGTACCACCTTGGGCCTGTTGATAAACAGCACCAAATCCATGTTAGTCCCGGTCCAACGCATAGAGTTTATCGGGGCGCTCCTGGATGCAGCGTCTTCCACAGCCTCTCTCCCGCCAGACAAATTCGAAACTCTGAAAGGTCTCATCAACTCCGTTTTAAAGTTCCCATTGACAACAACCAGGGTTTGCCTGCAGCTCTTGGGTCACATGTCGGCGTGCACGTACGTGGTCCATCACGCCAGACTCAGGATGAGGCCCCTCCAGCTCTGTGCCGGTCTCTGTGATCACCTCCCTACGGTGGTGGTCCACCCCAAATAACATGCTCCAAGGGGTCCCGTTCAGGGACAGGGCCCCATCATTGGAGCTGGTGTCCGATGCGTTGGACCTGGGTTGGGGGGCTCATATGGGGAACTTTCAGAACCAAGGCCTGGGGTCAGCCCAAGACCTGACCCTACGTATAAACATCAAGGAACTCAGGGCGGTGCAGCTGGAGTGAATGGCCTTTCGCTCGCACCTGAAGCGCAAGGTAGTCAGGGTCCTCACGGACAACACGGCCTTGATGTTCTATAACAACAGGCAGGGTGGGCCCGATCCTCTGTCACGAAGCCCTCAGGCTGTGGGACTTCTGTATAGACCACGACATACATCTGAAGGCCTTCCACCTACCGGGCGCCTGGAACGAGAGAGCGGATCGCTTGAGCAGGGACTTTTCCTTGCAACACAAGTGGTCCCTCCACCTGGAAGTGGCCCACCGATCTTCCAAAGGTGGGGAACTCCCCAGGTGGACCTATTCGCAACTCGGCAGAACTGGCGATGTCCCCGGTTCTGCTCCAGGAGGGGTCTGGGGAGGGGCACTATCTCCAATGCCTTTATCCTGTCCTGGTTAGGCCGGCTTCTCTACTCCTTCCCCCTGTTCCCTCTACTCAGCAGAGTCCTGGAGAAGATAAAGACGGACAAGGCCTGGGTCCTTCTGATTGCCCCGGCGTGGCCCAGGCAACATTGGTATGGGACCCTCACGGGCCTGGCAGTAGCTCCACTGTGGCCGTTGCCACTCCGCCCGGACCTGCTCTCTGAGGACCTGGGCCGCCTCCTCCATCCCAACCTAGTGGCTCTTCACCTCACAGCGTGGCTGCTCAATGGTTAGACAGAGAGGAGAGGAAGTGCTCAGAACAAGTTCAGCGCGTCCTCCTTGAAAGTAGACGGCCCTCCACTCGCCGCACTTATTTGGCAAAGTGGTCCCATTTTTCTAGATGGGCGGAGGACCACAGTGTGTCTCCCATGACCATCCTGATCCAGCTAATTCTTGACTACCTCCTCCACCTGAGAAACCAGGGCCCGGCGCCCTCATCTATCAAGGTGCACCTGGCAGCCATACCAGCCTTCCATTCGCTGGTGCAAGGGCACACGGTATTTTCCCATGCTATGACTGGCTGTTCCTTAAGGGTTTGGACCATTTTTTTCCATATTCTAGACCCCCGGTCCTGCAGTGGACCTAAACCTGGTGTTGCCTAGTCTCACGGGGCCCCCGTTTGAGACACTGGCCATGTGCTCCTGGTCTCACCTCTAATGGAAGGTGGCCTTCCTGGTTGCAATCACGTCAGCCAGGCAAGTCTCGGAGCTCAGGGCCCTGACCTCCGAGCCGCCGTACACAGTCTTTCATAAAGACAAGGTCCAGCTCTGCCCACACCCCGCGTTTCTCCCGAAGGTGGTCTCCGCCTACCACATGGGTCAGGACATTTTTCTACCGGTCCTCTGCCCCAAGCACTGTCTCCACACGCTTGATGTGTGGCGGGCTCTGGCTTTCTACCTTGAGCGGACCAAGCCGTTCAGAAAGTCCTCGCAACTGTTCATCGCCTCAGCTGAGCATGCGAGAGGCCAGCTGATTTCCACTCAGCGGTTTTCCAATCGGATCACTTTGTGCATCCATTCCTGTTATGAGCTGGTGGGTGTCCCCCGGCCACCCATTGTGAGGGCACACTCGACTTGGGCGCAGGCCTCATCAGCTGCCTTCGTGGCCCACGTCACCATCCAGAACATTTGTTAGGGCTGCCACGTGGTCTTCGGTTCACACATTCACCTCGCACTATGCGATCGTCCCCCAAACCAGAGATGACACCAGATTTGGCAGGGCTGTCCTCCATCCTGGGAACTTGTGAATTCCTACCCACCTCCAACAGATATAGCTTGGAATCACCTATTGTGGAATACACATGAGCAATCGCTCGAAGAAGAAAAGACTGTTACCTTTTCTGTAACTGGTGTCTTTGAGATGTGTTGCTCATATCTGTTCCACCTTCCTTCCCCTCTGTCGGAGTTGTCTGGCAAGAAGGAACTGAGGGTGGGGGGAGCGCACAGCTCTCCTTATACCGCGCCCGGCAGGCACCACTCCAGGGGTCGTGGGGGCGCTCCCCCCTACGGGTACTGCTAGGGGAAAAACTTCCGGCACTGGTGCATGTGGCGAGCACGCACACCTATTGTTGAATAGACATGAGCAACACATTTCGAAGAACACCAGTTATGGAAAAGGTAACTGTCTTTTACTGTTGTTGTACCCAAGCTGAAAGGGACTGGATAACTTTGTAATGGGCCTCTCGCTTAGAGAGCTTAGTCACAAGGGACAAGGCCTTAAACCAAGCAGAGATCAATAATTAACCTCTGAAAACGCAGACAAAACATTTCCCTTTGATCAGATTTCAGCATCTTTTTTGTCTGAGTCTGAAGTTCTATAGTCACTTCTGAAGTTTGATTTCATGGTTCTCAGACTGAGGTTAGTGAAATCCAATTTCATTTAGACTAACCTTGATGTTTTCAAATTAAAAACAGACTCCTAACAAGTCCTTTGCAGTACATTGTGTAGTAAGGTATATGTCTTCTTGCTTTCCCGTCCTTATAAATAAAATTAAAAATTATTCTAAAATTTGATTTGCATGTAATTCAGTTAAATTTAAATAATATAGATAATTATTTCTAATTAATTTTAATAAATACTGGGTTTGGGCTATAAATAGACATCAGTTCCTCATATTTCCATGGTCATTGTACAATTAGATCAAGAACGAATAAAGAATAAAGCAGCTTCACAGTATTTTGACATTACTGTAATGCACTTTTAAATGCCTGTATTTAGATAGGTTTCAGAGTAGCAGCCGTGTTAGTCTGTATTCGCAAAAAGAAAAGGAGTACTTATGGCACCTGAGAGACTAACAAATGCATCCGATGAAGTGAGCTGTAGCTCACGAAAGCTTATGCTCAAATAAATTTGTTAGTGTCTAAGGTGTCACAAGTACTCCTTTTTTTTTATATTTAGATAAAAACAGAATAGTATGTTTGTATAAATGATGCCTGCACACACTTCAGATTACCGTCAACTGCTATCATAGAAAAAGTGTATTAAATTCAATAATCTCATGTTGTGTTTCATTGTTCTTTCACTTTATTGATACTCAGGATCCAATTCTAGTGATGGTATCTCTCCTTTTTGTAGGTAGAAAGGAAGCGTCATATTGGAAATGACATTGTCACCATCGTGTTCCAGGAAGGAGAAGAATCTTCTCCAGCATTTAAGCCCTCCATGATTCGCTCTCATTTTACACGTATCTTTTGCTTTCTATTTTTTTAATTGACTAAAGCTTGTTTACAGACCCCCATTAAATCCTTTCTATATGCCATTCACAGAAGAGAAAAGTATATTTTAAAAGGAAATTGCACATGCCATCTTATGGATTACTTTATTTTGTATCCCTAAATCTACCTTGTGAAAATTCTCCATTGTGAACTACGTCAAAGGTGTGCAGATAAAAAACAAGCAGACACTTTCAAATCAGATTTTATTATTAAAGAATTCTTCAGATGGGTTCACAAAGTTAACTCCATTTACATTTCCAAAAGTATATTTTCAGAAAATATTTCTGCTATTGATGTGAATAAATTTTTCAGTATCCACTGAATGCTGGTTGCTTCATGACATTTAGAGAGCATTTATTTTAGTTATTTACTATAGATGGAATGGGATACACAATTAATGTAAAAAATACCAAAACCTTCAGAGTGATGGGTGACATTTTAAAATTGCATTATGACCTATATAAATGAACACAATACTGAGAGTCAGGAACTTGTGAGTTCTAAACCAAATTCTGATATTGACTACATGGTCTATTGTTGTTACCCCTTTCTTCTTGCACACTTGTTTGTTTCATCCACATGTTGGATCTCGTCTTTTAGATATTTCTTTGAGCAGGGCCTATTATTTACTATATGTTGCTAAAGTGCCTAGCACAGTGAGGACCCACGTCATAGAGGCCTCTAGATGCTACTGCAATACAAATGTTAATAAGACTTGGGGAAGTCACTTTATCTCTCTATGCCTGAATTTCAGTATTAGTAAAATCATGACAATAATTCTTACCACATGGGATGTTGAGAGGATTAGGTAATGAATGTTGGAGAAGAATATTTCTCTCTTATCTAACACACTCTTGGGTTTCAACAATATGAAAGTTCTAAAGCCATTGGTCCAGACATGCCAAACCTGTGAGAAAAATGCAGAAATTGGGCTTGTTTTTGTCTTAATTGGCTTGTGAGTTGCTTGTTGGCTAGTTTTTGGCTTGTTGTTGTTGTAATTTGTTGCCTTTTTTTTAATTCAGCTTTCTGCAAGCAGGGAGCAAGCAGGGGCAAGTGGGGAGAGAGTCAGGGGTTCACAGCAGGCCCATCACAGTCCCAGACTGCACACTGGGGGGGACCTAGTCACATAGAGTGTTGCGGTTCTTAGGGATTGGCTTGTTTTGGCCTTGTTTTGAAATGCCATTAGCTTCATTTTTGGCTTATTGTGAAAGTTGGGGTGCTTATTTACCTTGTGAAAGTTGGCAACTGTGCATTGGTCCTGGCAGGGAGCATCCTGCACCAGTCCCTGCTATGTAATGTGGACACTCCCTAATGTGCCAGCTGCCAGTTCTTTTCAGACGATAGGTAGTGGTTGAGCTCCACCTTCTCCATGTAGCGGGATGGAAAGCTAATGTATGGCTTTACTCCCTCACTCTGTTAGCAAAGGTCCTGATGAAACTCAGGAGAGACACCAATTCTAATAGACCCCTTTTAGAACAAGACAGCCAGATTCTTGAGCCTGTTCAGTGCATTACTAATCTCATCAGGTTGAGTCTGAATATACTGGATCATATGTGTAGAGCAAGTCTTTACATCTCAGCCTGGGAATTCCTCTCTGTTGCATGACTCTTGAGAGAAATAGAAATACTTACTTTGTCCAAGCAGGTGTCCCAGGTCATCGTGTGGCTCAGAAATGCTTTTGGGCTGGTGTGAAATCCTACATGGATCCTTTTACATACCCTGTGCAAAAGTCAGTTATCTATCACCTTCCGCTCTGTTTGTGGCACAGACATCTTCCCTCCAAGCCCACCTGGCAGTTGTTCTAGCATTTAAGGTACTGGATGTTAGGCCAGTGTCCACAGTAAGGTGGGCCAATGTTTTTGCTCCAATAGTTCATTCACTGAAAAGTGAAATTTTGGTCAACTTTAAATTGTTCACAAATTTGCTAAATCGTTTAGCTAGAAAAAAATCAGGGTTGATTAATAAAACAGCTAGAGGAGTAGGCAGTACCCACTTCGTAGCTTCTAGCCCAATGGTTAGGACATACACCTGGGATGTGGAAGACCCAAGTTCAAGTCCCTACTCTGAAACAGGGATTTAAATCCAGATCTGCCCTCTCCCCAGATGATTGTCTTCACCACCAGGCTATTCTGGGATGGGTCTTTCTCCATCTCTCCTGCTGAAGCTGTTCCACTCTGTATAAAATATGTGAACAGAATAATGCAGAAAGAATAGCAAATGTGGCAGGTGACCAGCTTGGCTTAACAGAGAAATCTTCGGTGAGCTGAAACACAAAAGAAGCTTACAAGAAGTGGAACTTGGACAGATGATTAGAGAGGAGTATAAAAATATTGCTCAAGCATGCAGGGGTGTAATCAGGAAGGCCAAAGCACAATTGGAGTTGCAGCTAGCAAAGGATGTGAAGGGTAACAAGAAGGGTTTCTACAGGTATGTTAGCAACAAGAAGGTTAGGGAAAGCGTGGGATGCTTACTGAATGGGGGAGGCAACCTAGTGACAGATGATGTGGAAAAAGCTGAAATACTCAATGCTTTTTTTGCCTTGGTCTTCACAGATAAGGTCAGCTCTCTGACTGCTGCATTGGACACCACAGTGTGAGGAGGAAGTGAGCAGCCCTCAGTGGTAAAAGACAGGTTAAGGACTCTTTAGAAAAGCTGGACATGCACAAGTCCATGGGTCCGGATCTAATGCATCCGAGGGTGTTGAGGGAGTTAGCTGATGTGATTATGAACCATTGGCCATTATCTTTGAAAACTCGTGGTGATTGGGGGAAGTCACGGATGATTGGAAAAAGGCAAATATATAGTTCCCATCTTTAAAAAAGGGAAAAAGGAGAATCTGGGGAACTACAGACCAGGTAGCCTCACGTCAGTCCCTGGAAAAATCATGGAGCAGATTCTCAAGGAATCCATTTTGAAGCACTTGGAGGAGAGGATGGTGATCGAGAACAGTCAACGTGGATTCATCAAGGGCAAGTCATTCCTGACCAACCTGATTGCCTTCTATGATGAGATAACTAGCTCTGTGGATATGGGGAAAGCGGTGGACGTGATATACCTTGACTTCAGCAAAGCTTTTGATATGGTCTCCAACAATATTCTTGCCAGCAAGTTAAGGAAGTACAGATTGGATGAATGGATTGTAAGGTGGCTAGAAAGCTGGCTAGATAGTCTGGCTCAACGGGTAGTGATCAACGACTCAGTGTCTAGCTGGCAGCCAGTATCAAGCAGAGTGCCCCAGGGGTCGGTTTTGGGGCCAGTTTTGTTCAACATCTTCTTTAATAATCTGGATGATGGGATGGATTGCACCCTCAGCAAGTTTGCGGATGACACTAAGCTGGGGGGAGAGTTAGATACACTGGAGGGTAGGGATAGGGCCCAGAGTGACCTAGACAAATGGGAGGATTGGGCCAAAAGAAATCTGATGAGGTTTAACAAGGACAAGTGCAGAGTCCTGTACTTAGGACGGAAGAATCCTATGCACCGCTACAGACTAGGGACCGAATGGCTAGGCAACAGTTCTGCAGAAAAGGACCTAGGGGTTACAGTGGACGAGAAGCTGGATATGAGTCAGCAGTGTGCCCTTTTTGCCAAGACGGCCAATGGCATATTGGGCTGCATTAGTAGGAGCATTGCCAACAGATTGGGGCAAGTGATTATTCCTCGCTATTCGGCACTGGTGAGGCCACATCTGGAGTATTGTTTCCAGTTTTGGGCCCCCCATGGCAGAAGGATGTGGACAAATTGGAGGGTCCAGCGAGGGCAACAAAAATGGTTAGGGGGCTGGGGCACATGACTTAGAATCATAGAATCATAGAATATCAGGGTTGGAAGGGACCCCAGAAGGTCATCTAGTCCAACCCCCTGCTCAAAGCAGGACCAATTCCCAGTTAAATCATCCCAGCCAGGGATTAAATCATCCCAGCCAGGAGGAGAGGCTGAGGGAACGGGGCTTATTTAGTCTGCAGAAGAGAAGAGTGAGGGGGGGATTTGATTGCAGCCTTCAACCACCTGAAGGGGAGTTCCAAAGAGGATGGAGCTAGGTTATTCTCAGTGGTGGCAGATGACAGAACATAGAGCAATGGTCTCAAGTTGCAGTGGGGGAGGTCTAGATTGGATATTTCATTAGGAGGGTGGTGAAGCACTGGAATGGGTTACTAAGGGAGGTGGTGGAATCTTCATCCTTATAGGTTTTTAAGGCCTAGCTTGACAAAGCCCTGGCTGGGATGATTTAGTTGGGGTTGGTCCTGCATTGAGAAGAGGGGTTGGACTAAATGACCTCCTGAGGTCTCTTCCAACCATAATCTTCTATGAATAGGCACTGGGCCACACAAAGAGAGAATAACTCTGTTGCCTCGTGGCTAGGGTACGCACTTGGGAGATGCAACTTTACCGGTGCCAGTAGAAGTCGGCGCCTATGGGTGCAGCCTCCATATTACTGACACTGCTGGAGCTGTGCCACTGGATAATTACAAGTCCTAATATTTCTAGTGTAGACAAAGCTCAGAGCCTGATGGCAAAAGGTCCCTAGGTTTTATTAGGAGCACTCTTAAAAACTCTTAGAAAGGTTCCTCAGATTTGTGTTTTCCTTGACACTGTTTATAGCTTAGAAGGTCATGTCAAGGATCAGTCAGTGTCAAGGAAATCTGCCACAACAAAATGTCTTTGATCTGTTTCTGTCTGAGATTTGCATCCACATTGAGCTATCTGGCCATTTTTCCGTATGCGTTGTTGCCTAGATTCTTACCAGAGTCATGAATCAAGATTGGTAATAGATCTTCGTGCAGTCATGAGAATTTACATTGCTACCCTACTAGGCCCTCTGCTTAACTGAATTATGCTAGAAGAATTTCTATAAGTCTGTGTTAGGAAATTTTATTAAACATGTTGAAACATGTTTTTTAATAATCCACTTTGTGGTAACTGTAGACAAGAACAAGTTATTTTCAACATCATTAAGCCTAGTCATGACTATCTAAGATTATGCTGAATATGGCTTGTCCTCATGTATACTGACCACAGAGTTGTGGTGACCATCACATTAGCTAGCTCAGTTGTTGAAAATAGTGTTTAAACACCATAAAACTTCTCATTGTAGACAATGACTAAGATACTTGCGCTTTTTAAGCCTTGCCATTTTAAACATTCATAAAAGAGAGACCCTACCAGAACAATCGAAGGTGCATAGACTAGAATTATATCAAATGTAATAAAGCAATTAATATATTTCACCATATTTCATCTGCTTTTTCAACAGAATGGGCATTTTCAAAACACAAGTGAACTCCATAGACATGAAAGTAATGGATTAATTTCTTTAACTTGCATGGCAGATATTTTTGCCTTAGTGAGATATAATAAGCAAAATGATAGTTACAGGTAGGTGCTAACTTTAACCAAATCATTCGCTTTGTTAGTTTGATGTTACAGTAGAAGCAGAAGTAAACCATTCTTCATAGTCCACCTATCGAATTCCGTGAATTGGGTGTTTTTAAGTGATCATGAAAGTCAGTGGTAAACGGTTCCATGGTGGGGCATAATGTAGTTGAGATCTATGGAATTTTTCCCCACAAATAAGAGTCACTCCTTGTAATACATAGTGTATTCTACTGTGCCTAAGCAGAGACTCTTATGTTCTGATTCAGTAATGTGACTGAGATTATAATCAGGTGAGGAATCCAGTATTATTGTGTTAATTCTGTACCCAATTGAAACTAGGCTTGCAGATAGGAAAATCTCTCTTTTGACTGTGTTACTCCTTATAATACTCTAGTTCTTGGCTCCTTTTATATATGTGCCTAGGGTTTGTGTTGGAAAATGTCTGTAATACACAGTGTTAAAAAAAAAAAAAGAGGTAATGTACACAGTGGTAGGATTTTGTAATTGACATGTTAAGTTTGTAATTTCATTTTTGTTTGAATAAGGACTAGACTTTGCCACTCTTGTTCTCATTGAATAGTGTATCATTCTACAAGAGTCAACTGAATGTAAAGTAATATACTAGTTAATGGACAGGTGTCAGTATCTGATCCCAGGTGAATATCCTGGGACCATTCATTGAGACTTGCGATTTCTGAAGTGTTGGTATGCTGTTTCCCAGTAACAATATATAGTTCTTGTTTCTGCTTAAGAAGCATGTCTGGTACTCTTTGTATGTGACTTTCAAACCAAATAAATAGTAATTCTTTCATTAGGCTGAAAATATTTTCAGAAGAAAGTGTACCTCTCTTTGGGCCTCCCCTTCCATCCCCACCTGTGTTCACAGATCACCAGGAATTCAGGGACTTTGTACTAGTGAAATGTAAGTCTTTTTGAGGTCAAAGAGACCTTTTTGAACTTTTAGTCTGATACATAAGAATCTGCTCTTCACACTTATTTGGGATATTGTAGATTGTAAATAATTTTTCTGCTGTGCAGTGTTACAGTTTTATATTGAGTCTTTTTTAAACTTCGGCTGTTCTATCCTCAGTGGAATATGAATTCCCTCAAACATTTCTATTTGGTTCTGATAAACACTGAATGCAGTTAATGCTTCCTAGGTTACCAGATCTATGAGCATTTCAGAAGTATTTGTCCCATTTTTGATGAATTGTTCATTTTTCAAAAGGTTTCTTCTTAAAGACAAAGAAGAATGATACTCAGAAACATATTTATCTAATGCCATTTCATATATTTAGCAGTAAAAGGTGCCAAACTGGCAGCTTTGGAGACTAAAATACTTCATCTACAGAAAATATGCAGCATGGAAAACAATCAGTATGTTTCAGTGCTGTTATGAATATTTTAGTGTTGTTATGAAGCAGTTCTCGAGGAGAGAACTCAATCTTAATGGACTCATTCAAGCCATGACCTCCAGCTAAGACTCCCAGGAAAGGGGCCACTGAGTACTAATCATGATTTTTGTAATGTAAACATCTGACCAATAGGAATTTGACTGAGAACTCACCAGTTAATTTCATATAAGTCACTAAAGAATACTCGTTGATATTTAAATGGATTAGCAATGTAGACTCCTAACTCGTATACAAGCAAAGAGATTATTGGGCTGTGTCATCGAGATCTATGATTGCTCATTGCCTTTTAAAGCTAGAGGAATGTCTCTAATAGCTTTGATAAAATCTAATTAGAAAATGGCAAATTGCTTAGTTTATTGAAAACCGCTTTATCAATTACAGCAGTATTTGACGTTGTTTGGGCCTCAAATTGAACTTAGCAGAGCAATAAGGAACTCTGTGAACTTTTCAATACAATTCTAAAGTATAAGGCAGCTGGACTGACAGCCTGTGACATAGACAGTACGGTGCTACATTTTTTGTCATATGTCAAAGAACTTCAGCACGTTTACTGAGATTCAGGAAATGGTTCTTTTTAAATTGACTGTGAAATAGTATCTTTCTGGAGTTTACATAGTTTTTTTTGTGTCTATGAAAAATGATACTAGGTAAATAGAGTTTTTAGATGCTCAAAAGCAAATAGGGTTAAAAAAAACTCTCCATAGTCATAATGATAAAACAGCTAAAACTTTTAGTTCAAAATATGCACAAATGTGAAACCAAACCCAAATTAGTAATTTTGCAGTGAATATCCTTACATGAAGACAACTTGGATTCAGTAAAGGACATGAAACCCCTTTAAGTAACACATCCTCCTTTATTATATGTTTTAGTAATAAATGGGGAAAAAGCCACCTTGGAAACCCCAACATTTGCTCAGAAACGGCAGCGCACTCTAGACATGCTGATTCGCTCTTTATACCAGGATCTCGTGCCTGATCTACACAAGGTAAATCCAAGACCTGAGTGATCTTTATGCACTTCATATCCCCCCCAGTGGCATATTGAATGGCCTATTGCTCAAGAAGATATCCACTCTGGTGAGTACTAATTTGCATACAGTAAGTTGGATAGCAAAGGGGTGTTCTTCCTCTTTACATTTTAATTGCATGAAAATCAGCAGTAAGTCATAAGAACAGCCATCCTGGATAGCTCACCTGCACAGTCAAGGCCTTCACATTTATTCTTCCTTCAATGATTGGCTGATATGAGAAACGTTGCTACAGCAAGTCACTGAATGAGGATGGTGCTTTATCTCTTCTCCTCACTAGGACTTAAGACAAATTGAGACAAGTCAGCCCTTACTCTTAATCAGTAGGAGGTCACAGGGGCACTTTTAGATGCAAGATCAGCAATAGATTGGACACCATGAGTCATCTTCTATTGGTGTCCAGGCTCAAGCAAAGATATCAGTGAATGTCTGTCTTAATCTCTTTGGTCATATGGCTACTTGCACTTATGTGACACCACATGTCAGATTGCATCTTCATCCTCTCCAAGTCTGTCTGAAGTCGATTTACCAGCCAAACAGACACAACATTACTCCATGAGTGCTTGTTCCCAGAGCAGGCAATTGTCCCGCTGGTTCTTCTTAAGCCATCAGCAGGAACAGGAAGCTATCCAAATAACTGGGATCCACCCTGCTCTGGACTGTGTGCCTCATGCTTCCAGCTCCAGCTTCTTCGGCTTGACTTCCTGGCATCCCAACTCATGGCATCTGAATTGTGGTTCTGATCTCAAGCTTGTCTCCTGCTTCTGATCTCCTGGTATCTTGATCCAGCTGATACTCAACTCCTGTTTTTTGACTGTGGACTCCAGCTCTGACCACCAGGTCTGGCTGCCAATGATTCAGCTGTGACACTCAGGGCTATTCATCTAGCTCTGATTCAGGATACCAGTGTCCAAGTTTTGACACTGCATAAACAGGCAAGGAGGAGCAAGATCTTCTCTCCCCATGCCTACAGGAATTCTACTGGAATCATGTGTTTTTAGCATCAGATCAGTCTCATAGCCCTACACTCACCTGGGGTTCAAAACAATTTAGGTGACAACTCAGTAGAAAATGGTCCCTCAAGTGTTCAATTCTTCAGATAAAAATTCAGAAGTGGGGTCATCCCTCCACATACCTGTTCATGACCACTTTAAACAACAAATGTCGCACATTTTGATCCAGAGGAGAAATGAGTCCAGGCACCCTCTTAGATGCATTAGCTGGGACAGGAATCTGATGCATGCTTTCCCTTGGTCACTCTAACTACTAGGGTCCTCAGGAATGTAATACAGGACAGGGTCAAGTTATGCTAACAGCCCCAGTGTGGGGGGTGTCAGTTTTAGTATTCAGAGACGGCACACTTATCAGTTCAAGTTACTGATCAGTCTGGACATCATAATGCAGAACCAAAGACTGGTTCTACACCCAGACTTGGCCCTGGTCTTCACTAGGTGGGGGGTTGACTTAAGATACGCAGCTTTAGCTACATGAATAGCGTAGCTGAAGTCGGCGTATCTTAGGTCGACTTACCTGGCCGTGAGGATGGCGGCGAGTCGACCGCTGCCACTCCTCTGTCAACTCTGCTTCAGCCTCTCGCGAGCTGGAGTTCCAGAGTCAACGGGGAGTGCGTTCGGGGATTGATTTATCGTGTCTAGCTGAGACGCGATAAATCGATCCCCAATAGATCAATCACTACCCACCGATCCGGTGGGTAGTGAAGTCCTGCCCTTAGTGTCTCTACATCTTACAATTTGGATGTTTAGTAGGCTGATCTTGGAGGATAGACTTTCCTCTGCAGAGGTACAGGATCATAGAAATATAGAATATTAAGGTTGGAAGAGACCTCAGGAGGTCATCTAGTCCAATCCCCTGCTCAAAGCAAGACTAACCCCAACTAAATCATCCTAGCCAGGGCTTTGTCATTCTCATATTCTCATTCAGAGCTGAAAACCTTTAACAAGGCATACTTATGGGGCCAAGTGGAAACAGTTTTCAATACGGGCGTCTCATGATAATTTTACACGTTGGAGGGGTCTGTACCTGTTATTGAGGTAATCTGTTATCATTAAAGCATTCAAATGTCTTGACTAGATCTAGTGAAGTTCACTTAGCACTGATATCTGCCTATTATCCCCCAGTTCAAGAACACGCAATTTTCCCCCAGGATTTTATTCCTACTGTAACTATTTTTTTTGAAGGGGTTAAAGCCTTTTTTTCCATCCGTTAAGTATTTAAACACAGTCTTCCTGATGCAGCCTCCATTTGAACCTGTCATTCTGTTCTTTGTATCATTTGGCTATTAATATGGCAGTCTTGGTGGCTACTACCTCGGTTCGCAGAATGAGCAAAATCCAAACACTGATGGTAGGACCATCTTATACCACCTTTTGTGAGGACCATCTTATACGACCTTTAGTTACTCTTCATCCTCATTCCAATTTTTTGCCTAAAATAGTGTCAGACTTTAATTTAAATCAGTTCATTCACTTGCCAGTGTTCTTTCTAAGACCTCACTCATCCACTGCAAAGACTAAACTTAACACTTTGGAAGCTTTTAAAAGCTACCTTATATTACTTCAATAGGACAAAACCATTCCACAAACCTTCAAGACTATTTATATCTTTTTGTAATAAGTCCAGAGGATATGCTGTTTCAACACAGAGACTCTCAAAATGGGTGTCAGACAGCATTAGAATTTCTAAAGAACTGAGTAAGTTAACTTCTCTGTCTCATATCGAAGCACATTCTGCCTAACACCAGGCCCCATATACTAGGCTTCAAGTCTCAGGCTCTCTCTTTCTACTGAGTATGTCATCATTGATATACTAGATAGCACCGTGATACATGTGAAGAGTATTGCAGCTGCTCCACAACCTTGTAAATCAAAAGGCTAAAGCATGCATTCTTAGATTCATCAGTAGGAGCAAATTTTAAGGGAGGGTGGTTATTTTTTGGTTAGTAATCTAAACTTGAACTGAGGTCACAGGAAAATGCTGAAAGAATACAGCAGAGTCAAGTAATGTCAGATGAAATTTTTAAAAAATTGAAAAAGTTTGGGTCAATAAGACTTTTTTTTTTTTTTTTTTTAAAGAACATGCTTAATAGGAGGTCCTTCAGTGACGTGTTACCAGAATCCCCTAGATCAGCACGGAAGAAAGAGGAGGCCCGTCAAGCGGAATTTGTCCGACTTGGTCAGGTAGGTTTTATGTAGAAAGTATTGGTCAAATTAATCACTCCACTGGGATGTGTGGAGTAAGATCAGGGATGTGTGGCCCAAAACAGGCTTGTGAAATTCCAACTGGTTCTAGCTTATCTGAGGCAGAATGATACAACCAAATCAAGGTGCTGACTGCATTTACTGTTGTTAATTTAGTCATGAATCTCATTAAATATATTAGGAGCACTTTCAGGAACAAACCTGTCATCAGAAAGGGGGAGATGTATTTAATCTGTATTATGGTAATGCAGCATTTAACACTTATCTGAAGCATCCCCTTTATTTAGTAAAATTACATTATATTATGGGAAATATTTAGAAAAATGGTGATGGTAGCTCAAAGCAATTTACTGATTTTGTTTTAATTTTTTAAAGTAAATTGATGTACAATATAGTGAAGACAACAAATGCTGGGACAGAAAATTTACACTAACAATAGGTTAATAACTAGGCAATAATATAAATGTTGGAAGTATAGTTAAATAGGGAATTGAGCAGAATTATATTCACAGAAAGAATAATGATCAGAGGATGAGTTATTAGGGAAGCTGATTTAAGTAAAAAAGATAAATAACTTTGAGATGCCACTGTGGACTTGTTTCTGGATAAAGAGTGAATCAACGCATATGTGGAACTAGAAGGAAGCAAAGATTTAAATAAATCCAAAATATGACAGGCAGCCCTTTTTTGGTCTGGAAATAATTGGCTTAGATCCTTGGCTTCAGTTGAGGTTCAAAGTTCTCAATAGCGCAGCTCAGGCAGAGTAGTGCAAAGATGTATAGGTATTGTGAATTTGGACATCTCTCAAAATAAATTAGCTACTTGCAATGCTTGCTAAGAATTTAGTTTTCCTCTCAGTCTTTAAAAGGAAGTTAAGAACGTAAGAATAGCCTTACTGGGTTAGACCAAAGGTCCATCTAGTCCAGTATCCTGTCTTCTGAAAATGTCAGATGCTCCAGAGAGAATGAACAGAACAGGTAATCATCAAGTGAGCCATCCCCTGTCACCCATTCCCAGCTTCTGGCAAACAGAGGCTAGGGACACCATCTCTGCCGAACCTGGCTAATACCTAGGGCCCTACCAAATTCATGGCCATGAAAAACACGCCACGGACTGTGAAATCTGGTCTTTTGTGTGCTTTTACCTTATACTATACAGATTTCGCAGGGGAGACCAACATTTCTCAAATTGGGCGTCCTGACCCAAAAGGGAGTTGCAGGGGGGTCACAGGGTTATTTGAGGGGCGTCCCAGTATCGCCACCCTTACTTCTTCGTTGCCTTGAGAGCTATGTGGCCGGAGAACGGCAACTGTTGGCTGGGCACCCAGCTCTGAAGGGAGTGCCCTGCCAGCAGTAGCACAGAAGTAAGGGTCTCAATACCATACCATGCCACCTTACTTTTGCACAGCTGCCTTCAGAGCTGGGCAGCCAGACAGTGGCGGCTACTGACTGAGGGCCCAGCAATACCATACCATAACATCCTTACTTCTGTGCTGCTGGTGGTGGTGGCTCTCCCTTCAGAGCTCAGGTCCCAGACAGCAGCTGCCACTCTCCAGCTGCTCAGCTCTGATGGCAGCGCTGTCACCAGCAGCGCAGAAGTAAGGGTAGAAGTACCACAACCCCCCTACAATAACCTTGCAACCCCCCGAAACTCCATTTTTTTGAGTTAGGACCCCTACAGTTACAGATTTAAATAACTGAAATAATGAAATTTGCAATTTTTAAAATCCTATAACTGTGAAATTGACCAAAATGGACCCTGAATTTGGTAGGGCCCTAATAGTCATTGATGGACCTATTGTTATTTAGTTCTTTTTTGAACCCTGTTATAGTCTTGGCCTTCCCAATATCCTCTGGCAAAGAGTTCCAGAGACTGACTGTGCGCGGTATGAAAAAATATTTCCTTTTGTTTGTTTTAAACCTGCTGCCTATTAATTGCATTTGATGATCCCTAGTTCTTGCATTACGAGAAGGAGTAAATAATACTTTATTTACTTTCTCCACACCAGTCATGATTTTATAGACCTCAATTATATCCCCCCTTAGTCGTCTCTTTTCCAAGCTGAAAAGTCCCAGTCTTATAATCTCTTCTCATACGGAAGCTGTTCCATACCCCTAATCAATTTGTTGTCCTTTTCAGAATCTTTTCCAATTCCAATATATCTTTTTTGAGATGGGGCAACCACATCTGCACACAGTATTCAAGATGTGGGCGTACCATGGATTTATATAGAGGCAGTATGATATTTTCTGTCTTACTATCTATCCCTTTCTTAATGATTCCCAACATTCTGTTTGCCTTTTTGACTGCCGCTGCACATTGAGTGGATATTTTCAGAGAACTATGCACAATGACTCCAAGATCTCTTTCTGGAGTGGTAACAGCTAATTTAGACTGTCATTTTATATGTGTAGTTGGAATTATGTTTTCCAGTGTGCATTACTTTGCATTTATCAACACTGAATTTCATCTGCCATTTTGTTGCCCAGTCACCCAGTTTTGTGAGATCCTTTTGTAGCTCTTCGCAGTTTGCCTGGCACTTAACTGTCTTGAGTAGTTTTATATCATCTGCAAATTTTGCCACCTCACTCTTTACCCCTTTTTCCAGTACAGACCCCTGGGGAACACCACTATTTACCTCTCTCCATTCTGAAAACTGACCATTTATTCCTACCCTTTGTTTCCTATCTTTTTACCAGATACCAGTCCATGAGAGGACCTTCCCTCTTATCCCATGACAGCTTACTTTGCTTAAGAGCCTTTGGTGAGGGACCCTGTCAAAGGCTTTCTGAAAATCTAAGTACATTCTATCCACTGGATCGCCCTTGTCCACATGCTTGTTGACCCCCTCAAAGAATTCTAGTAGATTGCTGAGGCATGATTTTCCTCTACAAAAACCATGTTGACTCTTCGCCAACAAATTGTGTTCATCTATGTGTCTGACAGTTTTGTTCTTTAATAGAGTTTCAACCAGTTTGTCTGGTACTGAAGTCAGGCTTACCGGCCTATATTTGCTGGGGTCACCTCTGGACCCCTTTTTAAAAATTGGCATCACATTAGCTATCCTCCAGTCATTTGGTACAGAAGCTGATTTAAATGATAGGTTACAGACTACAGTTAGCAGTTCTGTAATTTCACATTTGAGTTCCTTCAGAACTGTTGGGTGAAGACCATCTGGTCCTGGTGACTTATTACTGTTTAGTTTATCAAGTTGTTGCAAAACCTCCTCTAATGACACCTCAATCTGGGACAGTTTCTCAGATTTGTCACCTAAAAAGAATGGCTCAGGTTTGGGAATCTCCCTCACATCCTCAGCCATGAAGACCGATGCAAATAATTCATTTAGTTTCTCAGCAATGGCCTTATCATCCTTAGTGCTCCTTTAGCATCTCGATCGTCCAGTTGCCCCACTGGTTGTTTAGCAGGCTTCCTGCTTCTGATGTAGAAATTATTCCATAAAGAGGAATTTGCTTTCTTCTTTGTGTGCATTATTCAATCACTGTTGGTTCCATGTGACTATACGTTACTGAAACACTGGATTTTGATCTGGCTGTGGAGCTCTTCTCGTCAATGACAATATGGAAGTATAAACTAATTCAGATTCTCCTTTTGTCTTCTCACTGTTACTTTGTGCAACATTGGTGTTGTGTTCTGTACTATGAGCTAAGTATTTTTCAAAATCAGTATGCTTCTGTTTACCTGCATCTGGAAAGGTTTGTAAAGCTGTTCATGACAAATTTTGTTTATATCATTCCACAAGAATGTGCGAATAGTGCCACTTAGTATCTTGAAATGCACTTTTTAAAATGTGACATTAACTATATAGGGCCAGATTCTCAGCTGGTGTAAAGGGTGTAGTTAGCTCATGGACTTAATTTGTGGGTGTGATGACTTGTTATTATTTAAGGTGTTCTCCCTTAATATATTTGCTATGTTAAGTTTTGTTTTTACCAACAGCAGATATATATTGTCTGATATCATAATTTTTCAGCATCTTATTGAACATTAATCTTTGCTCAAAACACACGGAATGGCTGGTTTTCTTATAAAGAAATTGTGTAATGTGGCACAGAAATTCAGAGCTGGATCTATTGTAATTATAGTCTGAAATTGCTTCCCTCCCTTCCCCAATAGTCAGTCTCCATATCTTTAGTATTTATTTATCCATTTGGTGTTACCAACTAAGAACACATTTTAAATGAAATATCTGTCTTGTTTAAGGCACTGAAACTGAAAACCATTGTGAGAGGAGATGCCCTAACTAGTTCAGCAACCACAAGCCTCTATAAAAAGGAGGTGAGTGGACATTTATACATGATAATGTGCAAAGTTGCTCAAAATCTTGGCATTCCAGGTCTTACTGTGTATGGGACTACACTCAAAATCTTCGCAAAAAGAAAAGGAGTACTTGTGGCACCTTAGAGACTAACCAATTTATTTGAGCATATTTGCTCAAATAAATTGGTTAGTCTCTAAGGTGCCACAAGTACTCCTTTTCTTTTTGCGAATACAGACTAACACGGCTGTTCCTCTGAAACCACTCAAAATCTTATAATGCATATATGTAATTTGATTCAATAACAGAAGAGAAAACCTTGACATTGATCCATGTATCAGTGCATAATATCAAAATGGCTCTGCAGGCAAAGCCCAGTAAATGGATGGGTATGGAAACTATCTCTGAACTTAAAGCTGATTTCAGCAGTCCCACTGTAGTTTGAGTGGAGTAGTAAATGAAAATGCCAGTTGTTTTTCGTGTACATTTATATGATACTTGTAACTTTTGCTTCATGCACATAAAATTAAGTTGCATTGTTGTTCCTAATAAAGGGCAGGATTTTTTCTGGCCATAGGGTGGGTGTGCAGGAGTGGAATGTGCAAGGAGCACCTCTGTGCACTCTTCCTGCACCTGCAAGAAGTGACCTTTTCCCATAGGGAGATTCAGTGCCCCAGTTTCACAAATGTAGCTTATATTTATTAACGTCCCAAACTAACTGAGAGAGAGAATTTTTGCCTCCCCTGGCAAACAGACCAAAGTCTGATATTTTTAACTCCAAAAGTGCAGCTCTGAGCATTCTGTCCTGTCAAAGATGTCCAGGTGTTACTTTTCAGCCATTGTACTTGAAATTTTCTGTTGATAAACTTTGTGTTTCCTAGTGTATTTACCATACACTGTTTGTTGTTTCACAGCCATGGGAGTCCCAATGTTTCTGCAGTAATTTTCCTCATGAAGTTGTTTGTGCGGATTCTTGGGGCCAGTCCTTGCTAGTTTCTACAGATGTTGGTGTCCTGCTAATAGATGGTTAGTGGATGATCCAGCATTTGTCTACAGGTCAATATTTATGTACCTGACAGTTTCAATCAGTGGTGCCTATGAGGATGTTAGCAGCTCTTCACTACTTAAGATAGTTAAAAGTCCACATCTATTACTATATATCCTTACTATCAGGACTTTTATAACTTAACTGCAAAAATTTGCTCTGCACTAAAACTAGGCAAATCAGATCATCTTGGGGGCCCTGTTTTAATGCAGACTTCTGAATATTTTGTTGGTTTCAGATGCTGTTTTTTTGACTGTCTGAGAGGACTTTTTATTAAGCCAAATCCAAGCTCAAGGGTTGTCCATGCAGCCTGCTTGTACTTCACAGTCCTTGATGCTTCCACTGAGCCTGAGGCCAAAGGTGGCTGTGTACCATTTATGTACTCATCCAAACCTGTTTCCTCCCTAGCCCTGATTTTATGACTCTAACACCTCTTCCCCAGAATGCCATATATGGCAGTCATGATTTTGAGGAATGATATTAGGGGTAGTTGGTTCTCAGTATTCTTCTCAAACTTCCCAAAAACTGTTCCTTTTAGGCTCTGTTCTTGCTATTTGATTCACATCAGTGGTAACTCCTCCTAAGAAAAACAACAAGGAGTCCAGAGGCACCTTAAAGACTAAAGATTTATTTGGGCATAAGCTTTCATGGGTAAAAAACCCTCTTCTTCAGATGCATGCACCCACGAAATCTTATGCCTGAATAAATCTCTTAGTCTTTAAGGTGCTACCAGACTCGTTGTTGTTGTTGTGGATACATACTAACACGGCTACCCCGATCTTTCTAAGAAGGAACTACCATCTTTGGTACTAAGAAAAGGAGTACTTGTGGATCCAGGTTTTCTCACATCCCCCCCACCCCCATACACACACAAACTCACTCTCCTGCTGTTTTAAAACAAAAAAACTTCAAATCCAGACTCCAGCGAGAAACTGCTGAATTGGAATTCATTTGCAAATTGGATACTATTAATTTAGGCTTAAATAGAGACTGGGAGTGGCTAAGTCATTATGCAAGGTAGCCTGTTTCCTCTTGTTTTTTCCTACCCCCCCCCCCCCAGATGTTCTGGTTTAACTTGGATTTAAACTTGGAGAGTGGTCAGTTTAGATGAGCTATTACCAGCAGGAGAGTGAGTTTGTGTGTGTGTATGGGGGTGGGGGGGATGTGAGAAAACCTGGATCTATGCAGGAAATAGCCCGACTTGATTATGTAAAGAGTTGTCACTTTGGATGGGCTAGCACCAGCAGGAGAGTGAATTTGTGTGGGGGGGTGGAGGGTGAGAAAACCTGGATTTGTGCTGGAAATGGCCCACCTGTTGATCACTTTAGATAAGCTATTACCAGCAGGACAGTGGGGTGGGAGGAGGTATTGTTTCATATTCTCTGTGTGTATATAAAGTCTGCTGCAGTTTCCACGGTATACATCTGATGAAGTGAGCTGTAGCTCACGAAAGCTCATGCTCAAATAAATTGGTTAGTCTCTAAGGTGCCACAAGTACTCCTTTTCTTTTTGCGAATACAGACTAACACGGCTGTTCCTCTGAAACCTGTCATCTTTGGTACTGTATATAAAGTGACAGTATGCCAGATGCCTCATTTTCACAGAAAAAAACACACGTTTTTGTTACAAGAAACAAGATGCTTTAAAATCACTTGTCAGCAAATTGTAGTGTCAAAAATGTGTTCTAATTGGGGGTCATGTTTCCTTTCCAGATGGCCAGTCATCAGTGCAAGTATTTGATAAAACTCTCCAGGTGAAACAGATGCATGTGCTGGAAGCTTTGGACCTTTTGATTACCAGAGCAGACAAAGGTAGGATTCTTTACCTCTTGGTTCCAATATGAATGTGGCTGGCACACTATTACTTTACTCGTAGCTCAGTAGAAGGTAACAATTTATGCACTTGCCCTTTCAGAATGTGATTTCATTTTGTCAGTAATTCTCTTTTAAAGAGTTTTTTCCATTTCTACTGTATTTATTCCCGAGTCTCTCACCTTCAGCTGCCTTCTTGCATTCCTACCCAGATGAATTTCTTTGACTATTTCTGATCCAGTGGTATGTGAACAAGTTTACTAGTCAGTACTGGTGGAAGACAATGTCCCAATAACTGAAGTTATGAGACACTGGCACTGCACTTACACATCACTTTGTTCCCACTTATCATTGGAGCTTCCAGCAGTATGAATATGCAATACCAGGTCTATCATACAACAGAAGCTGCTTTTCCTTTGATGGGGAAATCCTCTTAGTCTTAAGTAATTCCTGCTTGTTGCTGGTATTGTAACTTTTTGGACCAAATCCTGCTTACCTTATTCACGCAAGTAATCCTACTGACTTTAATAAGCAGGCGTTCCCACCCTAGTTTACAGGCCTGAAGACTTATTAGAATTGCCCTCCATTACAATTGCAATGGTCAGGAAACAAGTGAACTCAAGAGTTGGAATGTCTCGGTTTCTGTAGTTCTAATATCTGCCAAACTGCAAAGTTAAAATATGTTCTATAGAATTAAATAAATATTAAAGTGGGAACAACTTCTTGGCAGTAGCTTATCTACAACCCATTTTGATTAAACTCAGCTCCAGTATGAAATTTATACATTTACTTAGGTTCTGTCAATTATCAGAAGAAAGCTTGTAGTAACAGTGGCTTTTAATCTCATGACAAAATTCTTACCATGCTTTTCACTCCATAAATTTATAATAAATAAATATTAAGTGGATTTGATATAGACAGTGGAGAATGTTTCATACTACAAGTGATTCTCTGATTGTATTATACTATACCCTAATGAAAGAAATGTAAAGTTACCAACAGACACTATAGTTCAAAGACATAAGAGAGCCACAGTTGCCTCTTTAATATTGCATTTCCATATTGTGAAAGTACATAAAGAGGTGCAACACCAGCTAGGACTTAACAGAGGTAAATCTCTAGTAGTGCTCTGTCATATACATTTAGGAATATTAGAGGCATATTTTTTTGAATGAATTTTGAATGTTAATCTTTCTTTGATATAACTTTAGGACATTGTAAATTGACCTAGGTTTTGTTCCAGGTTGCCCTGGTCTCTGTTATTGTGGACTTTATTTCGATTAGCATTCTGCTCTGTTGTAAAAAGAGTCCTTGAGGACAAGAAGAAATCTTTATTTTTAAATTTATAGGTAGCCGTTGTCTTTGTTGCCATGAAATTGACACATACATTTTCCTATTAAAGTAGCAGTACAGAAAAGTCTACTCCACACTAGCAAACATTTGAAAAAAATCTTAGTTTCTAGAGGATAGTTAATAGGGTGGGTATGATGAGAAGAAGAGTGGTGGAGAGTGTGGTTATTGGGGCTAGATAAAGTTTTTGGTTGGTTTTGTGGCATCAGTTAGTTGAATTTGGTGGTAGTGTGATGGTTGCATAGTATGAGATGCGTAAGTAAAAGAATAGGCTGAGGAGTGAGAGTAGAGCCATCAGGATGGTAATAATGATTGTGTTCATTGGTTAATTCTTGTAGGATTAGTCATTTTGGTATGAATCCTGTTAATGGGGGTAGGCCTCCTAGTGATATAAGAGTAAGTATTATCAGGGTGCTGAGGTTTGGAAGTTTTGTTCATGATGTTATGATGGATATTTTGTTGTTTCTAGAGGTTTAATTATTAGGAATGTTGTTGAGGTTATGATAATGTATGGGTAGAATGTGAGTAATATAAGTTTAGGGAGGATTGTGGTTATTCATCCTAGGTGGGCAATGGAGGAAAATGCTATGATTTTTCATAGTTGGGTTTGGTTTAATCCGCCTCATCCGCCAATTAGGGTGGGTGTTAGTCCTAGTGTTTAACAGGAGGGGTGTGCGTAGGGATTGGGCAGTTATTACTAGTAGGGATAATGGGGCTAGTTTTTGTATTAAGAAGTATTTGGTGGCAGCCTGAATTGCTCATGGATGGTGTTGCTGGGCAATTGGTGGAATGACGGCTAATCATCAATTTCTAGTCCAGTTCATGCTAGAATTTAGTGGTTGCTGGAGATTGTAAGTAGGTGTCCTATAGTTAGGCTTGAAGTAATAATTATGCTTGCTTGTGAATTCACTAGTAGGGGAAGGATTTTAACCAGCATTTTCGGGCTATGAGCCCAAGAGCTTAGTTGTCTGACTTTACTAGGATATGGTATAATGGAAGTATGGGGAGTTTTGATCTCTGAAGTATAGGTTCGAATCCTATTTTTCTAAGGAAACGAGAGGATTTTAGCCTCTATTATTCACCCTAGCAAGGTGATCCTTTAATTTCAGGCAAGTGTTCTGTGGTATGGGTGGGAGTCCTGAGAAGCAGGGGTTCTCAATCTTTTTCTTTCTGAAGCCCCCTACAACATGTTATAAAAACTTCAATGCCCACCTGTGCCACAGTAACTGGTTTTCTGCATATAAAAGCCTGGACTGGCATTAGGGGGTAGCAAGCAAGACAACTGCCTGGGACCCCATGCCACAGGGGCCCCTGTGAAGCTACATTGCTCAGACTTCAGCTTCAGCCCCAGGTGGCAGGGCATTGGCTTTCTACCCTGGGCTCCAGAGAATCTAATGCTGGCCTGCTTGTCAGCCCCTCTGAAACCTGCTTTCGGCTCCCCAGACCCCTGGTTGAGAACCACTGCTGAGAAAGCAATTGCTATTGCTTGGTGCTTAGGTGATTGGGAAGAAGATTTTTCATAGGAGGTGCATTAGGAGGTGCATTTTCATAGGAGGTGTATCGAAATCATGGGTATGAGGCTCGGATTCATAGGAATTCTGCTAAAAGTAGTATGACTTTTGATGTTAATGAGAGGGAGAATAATTAAGGTGTGTTGTTAAGGGAGGCTGGGTTGAGGAATAGGATAGCAGTAAGGGTATTTATTATTAGGATGTTGTCTTATTCTGCTAGAAAGAATAGGGTGAATGGACTGGCGGCATATTCAACATTGTATCCTGATACTAATTCGGATTCTCCCTCAGTGAGGTCGAATGGTGCTCGATTAGCTTCTGCTCGTGTGGAGGTGTTTCATGTTGTTATTAGTGGTCCGGAGAAGATAAGGTATATTGGTTCTTGTGTGGTTATAATGTTTGTATATGAAATGCTCCTGAAAATAGGGTTAGAGAAAGTAGGATAATTCCGATGGTTACTTTGTATGAGATGGTTTGGGCTACTTCTCTTTGGGCTCCTATTAGGGCATATATGAAGTTTGAGGCCCACTCTGATCAGAGGGTGGAGTAGACTATGAAGCTGGAGGGGGAAATTAGGAATAGGAGGCCTAAATTAAGGCCGGCTAGTGGGAAAGGTAGTGGTAGTGGGAGTCAAATTGATAGGGCTAGTAAAAGGGCTAGGATTGGGGCCAGGGTGAATAGTGCAAAGGATGATCTTAATGGATAGTTTGGCTCTTTAATAAATAGTTTTATGCCATCTGCTACTGGTTGTAGTAGTCCATATGGGCCTACGATGTTAGGGTCTTTTCGTAGTTGTATATATCCTAGAATTTTTCATTCAATTAGGGCGAAGAAAACTACAGTGATTGGGATTATATATATGAGTGGGGATTTTAAACTAGAGAGTAGCATTTTCATAGTTGGAGCGGGGTGTTGAACCACTAAGTAAAAGGTTTAGGCCTTTTGCATTGATCCCTGGCTCTGCCACCCGAACTTGGCCCTTTTTGGGGGGCTTGGTTATTTGTTCTTATTATTAAAGTTGATTTCACTAATATAAGGGAAGGCTTGTTTTGAGATATAGGCCTTGCCTTTTTGGTCCTTTTGTACTAGAAAAGGCTCAGTTATAGATAGAAACTGACCTGGATTACTCCAGTCTGAACTCACATCATGTAGGACTGTTGATCATTGAACAAATGAACTCTTGATAGCGGCTGCACCATCAGGATGTCCTGATCCAACATTGAGGTCATAAACCCCATCGTCTATAGGGACTCTAGGAGGGGATTGCGCTGTTATCCCTGGGGTAGCTTGGTTCGGTGATCAAATATATTGGATCATTTTGCCAGAGGCACTTTGAGTTGTAGGTCTAGGTATAGAAATATGTTCTTTTTTCAGAGGTCGAGGTCGTCCAACCAAAAATAGGGATCAAATACTAATTGGTTAGAAGTCCGGAGAGGGGGTGTTAGTAATAGTTGATCTGTATTTGAAGTTCCACATGGTCTTATGATGATGTTCTCGCTTTTGCACGAGATCAATTTCACTGATTATTTGTAAGAGACAGGTAGAACCTTTTTTGGCCATTCATTCTAGTTTTTATTTAAAAGACAAGTGATTATGCTACCTTTGCACAGTTAGGATGCCGCGACCATTTAACAGTGTCACTTGGCAGGCATTACCCCCAATACTTATTATTGCTGGGGGCTATGTTTTTGGTAAACAGTTGGGCTCTTTATTTGCCTAGTTCCAGGATCCTTATGCTGCAGAGCGTGGCTTGTCTTCTGAAACAGAGAGCCTTCTTTCCCTACCTTGTCTTCTCTGACCTTGGCCTGTCCACCCCTTTTCCTTCTATTGCCCAAAACGTCCAGTGGCCCTGTGAGTCTTCCTCCAGTTTGTCTCTTTTGTCTTGTTTGAAATTGTTCACTCTCTCCAAACAGCCCACTGCAGACAAGTAGCAGGAAGTAGCTTCTCCCAGCTACAATAGCCTCTTTAGCATACTTATAGACTAGTCAAAGTACAGTTGTTAAGGTTAATGTGTCTCCATTGTCCCTGGTCTGGAAGAGAGGTGTTTAAAGCTTTGTCAGCAGTGGTGGAGACACATAAACGTGGAATTAGTCGATACAACAGTTTTTATAAGCACAATTTCATAAGGTCAGCCAGAAGTCATAAGTTGTACAGACAGATTCCCCAAATCATCAGTGTAGTCTCAAATGTTTTCGCCAGTCTTGACTGAAAATTGCCAGTGATGGAGAATCCAGTACAACCCTTGGTAAATGTTTCCATTGATGAATAACTCTTGCAGTTTAAAAAAAAAAAAAAAAAGGCGCCTCATTTACAGTCTGCCTAGTTTCAATTTACAGCCATTGGATCATGTTTCTCTGCTAGACTGAACAGCCCATTATTAAATATTTGTTCCCCATGTAGGTGTTTATAGACTCTGATCAACTTATCCCTTAACTTTCTCTTTGTTAGCTAAATACATTGAGCTCCTTGAGTCTTTCACCGTAAGGCAGGGTTTCTAATTGTTTAAATAATTCTCATGACTCTTCTCTGAATCATCTCTAATTTATCATCCTTTTTAAATTGTGGACACCAAACTGGACAAAGTATTCCAGCAGTGGTTGCACCAATGCAAAATATAGAGGTAAAATAACTTTTCTACTTCTACTTGAGATTGCCTTGTTCATATACTCTTTTGGCCACAGCCAGCACCTCCTGATCCCCCACCCCCACTCACCATCACTTGGGGGTCATCTAGCACTCTTTTCCAATATCTGGTGTGCAGTAACCATGGACAAGTGGATGCTGAATGTCATCCACTCTGGCATTATGATAGAGTTTACATCCCTACCTTCTCCAAAATCCCTCTCCCCATCCTGCTTCAGGGGCTCCTCTCACAAGAATATTCTCAAACAAGAGGTGAACTACTTATTGAAGTGAGGCGTGATAGAACATGTACCTCTTCAGTACCAAGGGACAGGGTTTTTCTCAACTTACTTCCTTGTATCCAAAAAGAAGGGCGGATGGAGACCAATCCTCAACCTCTACCAACTCAACCACTTCATTTGCAAACTCAGATTTCACATGGTCAAATTGGTATCTATAATCCCATCTTGAGAAAAGGGCATGTGGTTTACAGCTCTCAACATGAATGATGCCTACTTTCACGTAGACATTCATCTCGCTCCTAGACATTTCCTCAGAGTCATGATGGGGTCTGACCATTTTCAGTATAGGGTGTTTCCTTTTGGAATAGCAACTGGCCCCAGAGTCTTTACCAAGATATTCTTGGTAGTAGTAGCTCATGGTCTCATTGTCTTTCCCTACCTCGATGACTGGCTCTTTGTCACCAAGTCCCAGCACGACACCTACGCATCAACTTCGGTGATGCTACACCTCTTGTCCTCAGTGGAAGTCAGCATAAATGCTGAAAAATCTGTTCTCAGCCCCACACAATCTCTGGACTTCAGTGGGGCCATCTTGAATTCTTATCACCGCAAGAACCTGGCCAAAGACAGGTTCCAGACCTGAATTATGGTATTGTTCATGATCACAAACTATCCTTGAGTCATCTTTGTCGGCTTTGTCCAGCTTGTCCCTGTCCATCCCTCCATGAACGCAAGTCAATGCCACACTATTCTGTTTTGTTGCGAGCACATTCTTTCCATTTCTGGCCAAAGAGTTTTGTCATTGGATCGGCCCAGTGCGTTTTTGGTCTGCCCAGCGATCGCTTGTGGTCTCTGGGGATCCGTTCATTGATGCGGGTTGTCCACCTATTGTCTTGCCTGCGGACTACATGACCCGCCCATCTTCACTTTGTATCATACATCGCCTGCACTTTGTCGGTCACCTCTGTACACCTTCTGATCTCCTCATTCGGTATATGATCACTGAGCGATATCTTACACATTCGCCTTTCCATTGCTCTCAGGGTGACAGTGAAATTTTCTTCCTCAGCTTTCATTGTTGACTAGCTTTCTGCTCCATATATCATTTCTGGCAGAACAGTGGAATTAAACAGTTCTTTCCTTTTCTTCATGGGCAGTTCATCATCTGTTTTAGACGTCTTTATTTTGTTTAAACTTGTCCACCCTGCCTTTAATCTCCTACTGCATTCCCCTTCAAATGAGGGGGTTATCTCTTCTCAGCTGCTGACCTAGGTAAATATATTTGTCAACTGCCTCAATTTCTTTCCCTTGAGTACCGGTCATGATATGTCTGTCTCTCTCTCCTGTGTCATGTGGCCTCATGCACCTATGACACCCCATTCCCATGACTTCACCTCTCCAAACCACCATCCCATGAACCTCATGGTAACAGTTCCATCAAGGTGGTGTCTTCCGTGCTATGGTGGACAAATCCTTATCAGGTGTGAGTGGGCATCCCCTTTCTCCCGTCCTCTCCTGACAGGACCATTATTACAGACCCATCCCCATTAGGTTGGGAAGCCCACGTGAACAGCCACAGCACAAGGTACCTGGACATCTTGAGAGTCCAGGATCCCCATCAATATCCTGCAGTTGTGAGCAGTCTGGAAGACATGCGAGTCCTTTCTTCCATTCATCCATGCTCGCTATGTTCTTATAATATCAGACAATGTTATGACCATCTTCTACATCAACAAGCAGGGAGAAGCGAGATCAGTCTCCCCGTGTGCAGAATCAGTCAGTCTCTGGAACTGGTATATCACCAATCAAATCACACTATTGGCAGTATAACTTCTGGGGAAACAAAATGTGATTGCAAACTTTCCTCCCCAGACATTTTGCAATCGACAACAAGTGAGAGCTCCATGACTTAGTATTGCACAATATTTTCACTCTGTGCAGAACCCCAGCCAGAGATATGTTCATCTTTCAAGCAAATAGGTAATTCACTACATTTTGCTCCAGAGGAGCCCTAGGTCACCTCTCCCAGGACGACACTTTGCTTCTTCCTTGGCTGGACCAGTTCAGCTATGCCTTCCCTCCACTACCACTCCTGCCGTGAGTTCTGTGCAAAATCCGGCAGGATACAGTACAGGTCATCCTGATCACCCCCTTCTGGCCAAGACTGTTCTGATTTCCCAGCATCCTACACATGTCATCCCAATCTCTGATCATCCTCCCAACATTTCCCAAGCTCCTGACCTGGTGGAATGGCAAGATGAAAGCACTCTGATCTACATGCTCCACCTCAGAGCTTTGTATTTGGATGGGCATCATCCTTGGAACGTTCATGCTCCACAGTCATGTGGGACATTCTTTCTAATAGCAGAAGGATTCTACTAGAAGATGTTACCTAGCTAAATGGAAGTGTTTTTCTTGGGCACTTCAAAGAGTCATTCCCCCAGAAACTGCAGTTATTTCTCTCACCTTGGACTATATCCTCTCTCTGAAGACATCAGGCTTGTCCATCAGCTCCTTGTGAGTGCACTTGGCAGCAATCAGTGTATACCATCCACCTTCTCAGGGCTACTCGGTCTTTGCACATCCACTGACAAATAGATTCTGGAATGGCTTAATCAGAATCTTTCCACCTATTCAGTGGGGCTTAAAACTTGTTCTCTCCATACTCACAAGGCCCCCCTGTGAACCTTTAGCTTCTTGCTCCATGTCTCTCCTTTCCATGAAGATTGCTTCCCTTGCAGCTGTTTCCTCAGCTAGAAGAGTTGGCAAGCTTGGAGCAATGATGGCAGAGCCTTCTTACACTGTAAGGATAAGGTTTCTTCTAATCTACACCCCAAATTCACTCCTAAAGTAGTTTCAGAATTTCACTTTAACCAATCGATTCACTTGCCTGTGTTCTTCCCAAAACTGCATATTTCCGCAGAAGAACGAAGACTCCACTCCCTCAGTGTTCAGCAAACTTTGGCCTTTTACCTGCAAAAAACAAAACACATCAGGAAATCCCTGAGACTATTCATCACTATATCAGAAAGAATCAGGGGGCATGCTGTCTCCACCCAGAGAAACTCCAAATGGATCTCTAGCTGCATTCTACTCGATAAGCTATTGAACCTTCCCCAAACCCCCCTGGGGTAAGAGTGCATTCCACCAGAGCAGAAGCAACAACTGTAGTGTCACTTCTGGAGGTACCCCTCCTTGACAGCTGTAAAGCAGCCACATGGGGCTCCATTCACAAGTTTGCGAGACATTGTGCCTTGGTACGGGACTCCTCTGGAATGGCGGTCCTCCACTAAGCTCTGCTATCTACATCTTTGCACCTTCCTCTGACTTAGGTACTGCTTGTTGGTCACCTGCAGCGGAATATAACAGGATTATCACTCGAAGAAGAAAGGGAGGTTACTGACCTGTAACTGAAAAAAAGGAAGAGGTTCTCTATGTGGGCAGCCCAACGTTGCCTGGACCGTATGGAGACTATATTGAAGGTCCTTGACTACTTGGTACATTTAAAACACTCCCAACATTTCATACTGCTCTATTGAGGTCCACCTTTCACCAGTCTCAGCTTGTTATCTATCTGTCTGATTGTGCTCTCACATGACAGTATTGAAGTTCCCAAAGGGTTTATTATATTAACTACCAGCCAGGGAACCCGCTTCTGCCTGGAACCTCAACATTGGAGCTGCCCACCATGTTGCTGTGAAGGGATGCCAGGCCTCTGGATCTCTGAGTATTTTAAGCCTTCGGAGTCAGAATGGGGTCCAGCCACTGCTCCAATCTTTGGGTGCCTAGGCATATTCTTGTGGTCCAAAACCTTAGTCTAGCTTTCCATCTAGAGAACAGGAACCTGCTGTCCAGCTGCCTAGCCCCTCTGGATGCAGGGTTGAACTTCAGTTTCACCCATGCTTAAACACACTCTCCCAGAAATCCACCTCAAGATGTGAGCCTTCTGGTTTACTGTTTTAACTCACTCAGGAGTCTTGTAGCAGTTGTGAAGCATATAACACACACAGACACTTTGCCCAGAGTTTAACACAATTGCTCTTAATCATATAAATCACAAGACCATACAGATCATACAAAATAATAAACCTTACACTCATCTTCCCTTACTAGCTCACCCTTCCCCAGGGGAGGGACCATCTGGGTTCAGGAAACAGGCAAGGCCCCCATCTCATGGAAGCCCTTACCTGCTTAGTTGCTTCTCCTCTTGACCTGGAGACAAAATGGCCAAAGATTCTCACAAATCAACTCCTTCCTATTTATATCTTTTAGCCCCCTTTGTCAGGTGATGTCCTTGCCATCTTCCCCATGTGATCAGAGCTTTCTACCAGGTGACTTTGTTGCCAAGGCAACCTCTCTCCTGAAAAACCAGTTTTCCTGGGTAGGAGCTATCTTAGTGTCAGTCTTTTGAATTTCAGAAAACATGGAGGAAAATGGCCATAAAAAAGGCAAAAGGCTGTATTTATGTTCAAAATGGAATTTGTAGCTTTGTAAAGGTACGTGGAGTGGGTTCATAATCTCACACAGAATTCATAGCATTGTACAGGGAGATTCCCAAATCATCACGCATTCCACCAGAGCTCGAGTTGCATTCTCTACCTGCTTTAGAAATATGCCAGTTTTCTGAATCTGCAAGTTGGCAATTTGGAGTAACCCACTGACCTTTGTCAAACATTAAGCATTGGACTTAGCTGCCAGGGCAGATGCCCAGTTCAGGAGAGCAGTACTACTATTTGACTGGTGCAGTGATACTCTTGGTCCCATCATCCAGAATGGGGTACTACTTGCCAGTCATCTACAGTAGGATCCACACTGACACAGATTCAGAAAATAAAGATCGGCCCCAGCCCAGACACTATCAGCCCCAACTCCTCTAGAGCCCAGGGATCCAGAGGGAGAAATAGCCTGATGCTGGGTCGTGGACTTGTATGGAGTTGCTTGCAGTTCGCCGCCTTCTTTCAGAGCTGCAGTTGGTGGGAACCCTCCAGCTCACTCCCTCTCAACCCAGCACTGTCTTCTAAGTAATTCTTCGCTTAACGTTGTAGTTATGTTCCTGAAGAATGGGACTTTAAGCGAAATGATGTTAAGTGAATCCAATTTCCCCATAAGAATTAATGTAAATAGGAGGGGTTAGGCTCCAGGGAAATTTTTTTCACCAGACAAAAAAACTATATTATATATATACACACACACACACTATACGTTTTAAACAAACAATTTAATACTGTACACAGCAATGATGATTGTGAAGCTTGGTTGAGGTGGTGAAGTTAGAGGGTGGGATATTTCCTGGGGAATGCCTCACCGCTAAATGATGAACTAGCATTTGGCTGAGCCCTCAAGGGTTAACACGTTGTTAATGTAGCTGCACACTCTACAAGGTAGCACGAATGGAGGGAGGGGAGACAGCATGGCAGAGAGACACACACCCTGTGTGTGGGGGAGAGAGAGAGATGCGCATTGCCCCTTTAAGTACACTGCCCCCCTCTAAGTACATTGCCTTTAAAAAGATCAGGAAGTTGAGACAGCAGCTGTGGCCAGCAAGTTCTGTCCATCCTGAGCCCTGTCCTGTCCCGACCCTGTTCTATATGGAGAAGGGGTAAGCGGGGGACAGGAGTAGGGGGGATGGGGACACCCTGATATTAGTCCCCTCTTCCCCCTCCCCTGCACAGCAAGCAGGAGGCTCCCGGGAACAGCTCCAAGGCAGAGGGCAGGAGCAGCACACGGCAGTGTCGGGAGAGACAGCAGAACTGCCGCAATTGGTAGCCTGCTGGGCGGCTGCTGCACAGGGAACTTAGGGGAGCGGGGAGCTGATAGAGGGGCTGCCGGTCAACCCTGGTCCCCACCAGCTATCTGCAATGGGCTGCTCTTCCTGCAAGCAGTGGACAAAGCAGGCAGCTGCCAAACAATGTTATAAGGGAGCACTGCACAACTTTAAACGAGCATGTTCCCTAATTGATCAGCAATGAAACAAATGTAAACCAGGATGACTTTAAGTGAGGAGTTTTAGAGTAACAGCCGTGTTAGTCTGTATTCGCAAAAAGAAAAGGAGTACTTGTGGCACCTTAGAGACTAACCAATTTATTTGAGCATAAGCTTTCGTGAGCTACAACTCACTTCATCGGATGCATACTGTGGAAAATACAGATGATGTTTTTATACACACAAACCATGAAAAAATGGGTGTTTATCACTACAAAAGGTTTTCTCTCCCCCCACCCTACTCTCCTGCTGGTAATAGCTTATGTAAAGTAATCACACTCCTTACAATGTGTATAATAATCAAGGTTAGCCATTTCCAGCACAAATCCAGGTTTTCTCCCCACTCCCCCACACAAACCCACTCTCCTGTTGGTAATAGCTGGTAAGTGAGGAGTTACTGTATTTGTGAGCTGGTCTCTGCTGGGTCCAGCAGCCCCTGGTGGCAGCCAGCAGCTGTGCAGTCCATTTTTGGGGGAGGAAATTTTGCATGCACAACATTAATTTCTGCACAAATTCTGCATGTGCAGTGGTGCGGAATTCCCCGAGGAGTAGTTTCAAATTCCCAGGGAACATAGGGAGAAATTTTGCCTTTTATGTGCTTGCATGGGTGAACAAAGAGGCACAGGACGCATGTACAGCCTCAGTGGATACTGCTATTCAAAAGACTCTAGTCTTGCAATCAGGAGGTGCATGCACCCCTATAGTGGCATCCATACTGACAACATTTTAAAGAGCCACAATTGCCACAGGGTAAGTAACCATTCTTGTCATTTGCTCCTGTCCTGTTGCAAGGTGCAATGGGCCTTTTTTTTTTTTTTAATGATCTAAAGCTTTTCACTCTATATACATGATCTTCAAACAGCTTACCTATAGGTGTTGGATACTGAAGATTGTAGCACTGGTAACGAATGTTGTTTTCATTTCTGCAGTGGGAATATGAATCCTTTGGCATAAATTTGTTTAAATTATCACAAGTTTTAAGTCTTGTTAAGAACAAACTCAGTCTGCCCCAGGGAGATTTTCATTCTGTCATGGATCTAGTAAATTTAGATTCAGTTGGATTATTCCCACCCAGAGAGCCATCTTGTGTGATAATTCGCATTAGTTCTTTGCGTGTTGGTTTTCATTGTGTTGTAATAATCCTGGTCTCATTTTCTCACCTTGTTTTCCATTACAGCACCAAGTTTTTACCTTATTTTCCAGTATAGAACCAGGTGCAGGGAACCTGTGCTATTGATTTGAAGGAATCTTTTGATTTCTTGAATGGGTTGCTGTGTTCCAGATTTAATTTCATACCATGACAGATTATGCTAGTTCTGCTCATCAGCTCAGGAGCTCTCAATCTGGTAGCAGAATTGCATAACCTAAGCAGAATTCATAGGCATTTTTTCCTTCCTAGCATATTTCCACTCATCTCCAAACTGGATTGGAGAGAGTTGCCTCTTATCTTCATAATTGTGGTTATGTATGTGCAGATTTGACATTTATTCTTTTTGGGAATGTTGGTTTCGTTCTTTATTTTAACTTGCTATTTCCCTGGCTCTCCCCCCTACCTGGCAGGGAAGGATTCTCGTCTCCTTGTCTTCAGGATGAGCGCTGTACGAAATGGCATAGAAGCAAAGCAGATGGCAAAGAGCAAATATGACTGCAGAGAAAATAAACTTGAGAAAACAAAAGGTGATTTGACTCTCATTTATCAAAGACCCAATTAAGGCATTGGGCCAGAAGCTGCCAAAGGTCCTATTGGTTCCCATGTAGATGTTGCAGCAACTGACCCTTAGTTATTCTCCTCTGGACAGTGGATTGAAATCCTGTGTTAGATAGTATGTGAAAATAAATTTGGACCAATCCCAATTCCCATATGTGCACTTCCCAAAAATACCACATGACTTGGTAGTTTTTACCTAGGAGAAGTTCTGAAGCAGAATAGATATATTGCAAGCAGGATTGAAGGACTCTGGCAGAGCTATGTATGGAGACCCAGGACTGAAATGATAGGGCAGTGCTGCAGGTCAGACTTGGTGCATTGGTGGAATTGTATGAGTTCCTAGTACGTGGAATAGCAAGGGAGTTGCACCACATTGTTGAGTTGTATTGGAAAAGCTGAGAGCATTTCTAGATGGGGAGCAACAGAATTTTATGGGATAGGGTTGAGATGCATACTACCTCTGGCACAAGCCTATGCATGTAGTCATTCACATCCATAAGAAATTATTCATTTGCAAATTTTAGAGGGTGAAGAAATAATTAGGTTTCATTTCACAAGGAACTATGTGGAGTTTGTGGGTGTGTTTCTTGAAGGGAATGTTAATACTTGCATTATCTCCTTAGGCTGCCATTTATATGCCATTAATACTCACCACAGCAGTGAACTGAGGATTGTTGTGGCTATTAGGAACAAACTGCTCCTCATCACAAAGAAATACAATCAAGGCAACAGTTTAACCAGTGTCTGTTTGATGTCACCCCTGTCTGAATCACCAGTGGAGGAATTCCAGTACATCAGGGTATGCTTGAGACATATCACTAAAAATACCTTTTCTCACACTGGGCTAACCTGGTTCAGGAGGGGCACACATCTTGCCTTTCTAAACCCCAGGATTGGTTCAAGTGAGAGGCCCAGCAATGGTGATGGAAATCCCACTACAGATACTTAAACAAAAATCCTCCACTTTTTTTAACTGGGCTCTTGTTCATCAATGAAACATATTTGTGTATAGCCTGTCTGCCCTCTAACACAGCTCACTGGTCACCACCTGTAGTACAAACTATTTCCAGTGAGAATATGAAAAGTAGAATAATTCCTTTAATTTCCATCTTAATGTAATGTCATTTACATTACAGGAGATTTGTCTCTCTGACCCTCCAGTTATCATGACTCTGGTGGATGGACCTTCTGGAGACAATGACAATATGATCTGTGTAGCATATCGACATCAGTTCGATTTAGTTAACGAGAGTACTGGGGAGTCCTACAGGTTACACCATATTGAAGCAAGCAGGGTAAGTTCTCAGCATTAGAACAGAGTTTGCTAATGTAACCATACCTGGCACCATAAAAGTCGACATAGCTATCCTTGAGCCCATAGTGACTTATATCACCTTCCTTGGAGCACCAGTTTGGGAGGATCTTGGCTTTTTTTGCTTTTAATTTAGTTTTTTAGCTATTATCTATGCTCCCACTCTGCCTTAGACCTGAGTTCTTTTTAGGGTACCTAATGGTGATTTTCCCCAGGCAATCATAAAGTAAGACATCTCTGACTGGTACTCCTAGGTGTATCACCAGGTGGGCAAAAGTCTTGCATCTCAGAGTCTGGAATATCACTGTCAGCATAGCTGTAAAGCCTTTTCCTTTCTTCCTAGCTCAAAAACTTTTTTCCCTTTTAGTACAGGGTGTGTGTGTGTGTGTGTGTGTGTAAACTACTCTTTGTTAGCCATCAATTTCAAATTAAGATTTGCATAAACCAAGACTGAACCAGCTTTCCCTGCCTTCTAAACAGGTCTGAGGAATAAACTCCCTCCTGTTTGATTGCCTTTTCCAATCTTGCATATTCCTCCTGAGGGCCTTTGGTATTCCCCTTAAGGTCTATTTTTAATATAGGTTAATGACCGGGTGAGACCTCATCTGGAATAGTGTGTGCAGTTTTAGTCTCCCATGTTTAAGAAGGATGATTTCAAAGTGGAACAGGTGCAAAGAAGAGCTTCTAGGATGATCAGAGTAATGGAAAAGCTACATTATGAGGGGAGACTGAAGCAGCTTTTTTTGTTTAGCCTAACCAAAGAAAGGCTGAGGGGAGATATGATTGCTCTCTACAAATACATCAGAGGGATAAAAACCAGGGAGGGAGATGAGTTATTTAAGTTAAGCACCGCCGTTGACACAAGAACAAATAGATCTAAACTGACCATCAACAAATTTAGGCTTGAAATTAGATGAAGATTTGTAACCATCAGAGGAGAGAAGTTCTGGAACAGTCTTCCAAGGGGAGCAGTGAGAGCAAAAAAACCTAACTTAAGACTGAGCTTGATAAGTTTATGGAGGGGATGATATGATGAGATTGCCTACAATGGGATGTGGCCCATCTGCAACAGGTAGTAGCAAATATCCCCAACAGCCAGAGATGGGGCACTAGATGAGGTTGGGAAGGAATTTCCCTCCAAGTCAGATTGGCAGAGACCCTGGGGGTTTTTGCCTTTCTCTGCAGCATGGAGCATGGTCACTTTTTGGTTTAAACTAGAGTAAATGGTGGATTCTCTATAACTTGAAATCCTTTAAATCGTGATTTAATTACTTCAGTAACTCAGCCAGAGGTTATTACAGGAGTGGATGGGTGAGGTTCTGTGTCCTGCGAAGGCCAGGACTGTAGGCTAGATCAGGGGTGGGCAAACTTTTTGGTCTGAGGGCCACATCTGGGTATGGAAATTGTATGGCGGGCCATGAATGCTCACAAAATTGGGGGTTGGGGTGCGGGAGGGGGTGAGGGCTCTGAGGTGGGGCCAGAAATGAGGAGTTCAGGGTGCAGGAGGGGGCTCTAGGCTGGGGCAGGGGGTTGTGGGAAGTGGGGAGGGCTCCAGCTGGGGGTGCAGGCTCTGGGGTGGGGCTGGGGATGAGGGGTTGAGGTGCAGGAGATTGCTCCGGGATGGGACAGAGGGGTTCGGAGGGCAGGAGGGGGATCAGGGCTGGGGTTGGGGTGAGGGAGGGGTTCAGGGGTGTAGGCTCTGGGCGGCGCTTACCTCAAGCAGCTCCCAGAAGCAGCAGCATGTCCCCTCTCCTGCTCCTACACAGAGTCGCAGCCAGGGGACTCTGCACCCTGCCCTTTCCACAGGCACCACCCCTGCAGCTCCCATTGGCTGGGAGCCATGGCCAGTGGGAGCTGCGGGGGCAGTGCTTGAGGCAGGAGCAGCATGCGGAGCCCCCTAGATGCCCCTATGTGTAGGAGCTGGATGGGGGACATGCCGCTGCTTCCGGGAGCTGCGCAGAGTGGGGCAAGCCCCAGATGCTGCTCCCTGACAGGAGCTCAAGGGCCAGATTAAAATGCCTGGAGGGCCATATGCTACCCCTGAGTCATAGTTTGCCCACTCCTGGGCTAGATGATCACGATGGTCCCTCCTGGCTTTAAAGTCTGAGTCCTAACAGTAATTTCTCAAAACAGAGCATCTGTTACTCAGTTTCAGGACGCCCTCCCTCTTACTCAGATGCTGGGTAAACAGAAAATGTGGTTTTCTCCTCCCGCCTCAATAGGTAACAGTCCATGGATGTAGAAAACACATAGTATTTATACAATTGCTCTTGTAAGCATTCCTCCTGTTGGATCTATCTGCCACAGTTCTGTCTTTTTTAAAGTCATCATTAATTCTTTTTCTGTCAAGATTCAGTGCGCCCAATAAGGCATTTTGCTATTAGATTGTAGTAGCTGCAACTCAATGCACAGCATGTAAAAAGTAATCAAAGCAGGTAGTATCAGGAGTGATGTTTTGGAGCAGTGGTTCCCAACCAGGGACACAAGTACCCCTGGGGGAAAGCAGAGGTCTGCCTGGATGTACATCAATTCATCTAGACATTTGCCTAGCTTTATAACAGGCTACATAAAAAGCACTAGCAAAGTCAGTACAGACTAAATTTCATACAGACAACAACTTGTTTATCATAGAATCATAGAATATCAGGGTTGGAAGGGACCTCTGGAGGTCATCTAGTCCAACCCCCTGCTCAAAGCAGGACCAATCCCCAATTAAATCATCCCAGCCAGGGCTTTGTCAAGCCTGACCTTAAAAACTTCTAAGGAAGGAGATTCTACCACTTCCCTAGGTAACGCATTCCAGCGTTTCACCACCCTCCTAGTGAAAGTTTTTCCTAATATCCAACCTAAACCTCCCGCACTGCAACTTGAGACCATTACTCCTTGTCCTGTCCTCTTCTACCACTGAGAATAGTCTAGAACCATCCTCTCTGGAACCACCTCTCAGGTAGTTGAAAGCAGCTATCAAATCCCCCCTCATTCTTCTCTTCTGCAGACTAAACAATCCCAGTTCCCTCAGCCTCTCCTCATAAGTCATGTGTTCCAGACCCCTAATCATTTTTGTTGCCCTTCGCTAGACTCTCTCCAATTTATCCACATCCTTCTTGTAGTGTGGGGCCCAAAACTGGACACAGTACTCCAGATGAGGCCTCTCCAACGTCGAATAGAGGGGAACGATCACGTCCCTCGATCTGCTCGCTATGCCCCTACTTATACATCCCAAAATGCCATTGGCCTTCTTGGCAACCAGGGCACACTGCTGACTCATATCCAGCTTCTCGTCCACTGTCACCCCTAGGTCCTTTTCCGCAGAACTGCTGCCTAGCCATTTGGTCCCTAGTCTGTAGCTGTGCATTGGGTTCTTCCGTCCTAAGTGCAGGACCCTGCACTTATCCTTATTGAACCTCATCAGATTTCTTTTGGCTCAGTCTTCCAATTTGTCTAGGTCCCTCTGTATCCTATCCCTGCCCTCCAGCGTATCTACCACTCCTCCCAGTTTAGTATCATCCGCAAATTTGCTGAGAGTGCAATCCACACCATCCTCCAGATCATTTATGAAGATATTGAACAAAACCGGCCCCAGGACCGACCCCTGGGGCACTCCACTTGACACCAGCTGCCAACTAGACATGGTTGTATGGTTATACTACTCTCTATATTATACACTGAAATGTAAGTACAATATTTATATCACAGTTGATTTATTTTATAATTATATGGTAAAAATGAGAAAGTAAGCAATTTTTCAGTAAGTGTGTGCTGTGACACTTGTATTTTTATGTCTGATTTTTGTAAGCAAGTAGTTTTTAAGTGAGGTGAAACTTGGGGGTACGCAAGACAAATCAGGCTTTGGAAAGGGGTACAGTAGTGTGTAAAGGTTGAGAGCCACTGTTATGGAGTATTATGAAAGTGATACAATTTAAAAAAACAAACAAACCTGAGCATTTATCATTGCTTTTGTGCCTTTTCATGAAGTTTTAAATACCAGCCACAACTGCCTAAAACTACTTCTTACATTCTTGGAGTATTGTGTGAGAATTTCTTAATAACTTGAACTCAAGAAATGGCTTTTAGTCTTATCTAAGAAATCACGCCCAATGCAGTACTGAAATTGGGAAACAAGCAGAATTAGTATTGTATTTCCAATGGCCAAAATGTTCTAACTTGGTTGCCTGAAGTTAGACATCTAAATAAATGCCCTGATTTTTCAGAAGTTTTAAGTAACCACAATTCCTGTTGATTTCTGTACGAGCCTGGGATGGTCAGTATCTCTGAAAGTCAAGCCATTTTTATTTGTGTCTAAATATAGATTTAGATGTCTGACTTTAGATATCCAAGTTCGAATATTTTGAGCAGTCTGTTTATGCTGATAGTCTTCCTCAAAATGCAGATAGATAAATTCTCCTCTCTTCTGATGGTTCTTGGTTTTATTCAATTTACTTTTTGTTTTATATTTTACCTTTTATGTTTTTTGCGTGAATTTAGTGATGATGAAAGGGACCAGGTTTGACAGCCTTGGAGACTGAGCAGGTACAGCATGAACAGTTGCAATGCAAGCTTCCCCATGTGGCCTTGCCAATTTTCCTCAACCCTGATCTGAAGAAGCTACTTCTAGGGATGAGAGGGGACTTCATTCACCATGGCCCGTTCAGTCACTGCCCTATTGGCTGAGGCTACCAACAAGGCTGTCAGTTGGTACCAATTATGGTGGTTGTTTTTGGGATGTGGACACTGGCCTCTGGGAATTGGACTTGATGCCCATCAAATCATTTCACTTTGGTCACCAAACAGCTGTCATTTGATAACAGCTTTTTGTCACTACAGATCTGGGATAGGTCTGAATGGGTGGTATGTGTGTGTATGTATGTATAATGTCCCTATGGGTGCTCCACTTTAGGTGCATTTGTATCCCTACATTGCTGATTGGAGAACTTTGGTAACAGTGTCCATTCGGCCCGCACATCCACTATACTCCCTTGTGCCCCACCAGGAGGCTAACCAGCTTGTGTGGACGAACCGCCCCTCAGTTCTTTTTCAACTGCCCCTGACTAGAGACAGAGCCATTAGCAGTCTGTTTGTGATCGTTATCTCTATTCTTTTTTTTAGCATTTTTAGTAGCTAGTTAATCTCCTTCCTTCCTTCCTTAGCTGTACATTTTCTTTATTTTCTCTCTTAAAAAAAAAAACCACTTTTAATTTTCCCCCTTTGTAGGGGACCCTTTCCCCCCAGCAGGGTATGCCTGGCTCACCAGGCTTCAAGAAGTGCATCCCATGTAAGTTGGCCATACATATGGCAGATAAACATATACGCTGCCTCGGGGGAGGCCACATTCCTCAGAAGTGTGGTCTCGGTCAACAATTTAAACCAAGGTCTCGTAAGGACAGGGAACTGAGAAAAAAAATCATCCTGATGGAGGCAGCCCATCAGCCTTCCCTTGACCAACACTAGGAATCACCTAGAAGGTTTGAATCTTCCCCACAGCCCTCGAAGTCCAGGGACTATGAGTCAAAAAATCAGCCGCAGACCCTCATGAAAGGTATCTAAAAAGAGATGTGTAAGCCTCAAGCTAGCTGAAAAAGATCACCGGCATGCTCGGTATAGTTGGTACCAAGACCGTCCAAGCACGGTACCCATAGCTCACAAAGATCTGGAACAGCAGGTACCATTGATGCGCCTAAAAACCTGATGGGCACTGATGGATGAGGACAGGAACAGGGTGCACACCATTAAGACGATGCTTTTGGTATGAGTGGTACTTTCGGCACTGTCAGGTGTGAGCCACCCAGCATCAGAGTACTCAGTACAGGCAAGATCCCCAACTCCCACCGTATCAGCACCAGGTCAGTCAGGACTGCAAGAGTTCCAGCACTCAAGAGAACTCAGGGTACCTGATATACCTGAATTTCCCCTTCTCGGCACTGGGGCTCCAGTACCAAGTCTCCTCCAGATACAGGAATCTTTGGCACCATGCCATTCACCTCCACTTTCTAGTGGTGATTCAGACAGTGAGCCAGAGGAGGTCATCTCTCATCACTCCTCCTATGATCCCTATGGTGCCCATTATAAGGGGCTCCTCAGTCATACCCTCAACCTACTCTGCCACCACCATGGTAGGCCAGCCATGGGAACTGCCACCAGGCTCTGTCCCAGTGGCCCTACTGGCATCCCTGCATCGAATATAGACCTCACATTTTTTAGACTTCCAGCTTGACTCACTGTGAGCCTCTGAGACATTCTCCCTCAGCCACAGCATCCAGAACCTCTGAACCTCCAAAGGAGATCTTGACGGAACAGGAGGGAAGAATCGAGAAGGAAGTTACATCAAGAACCAACATCTCCTTCTCCTCTCCAGATGAGGCAGTGATGCCCACTGACAGTTTCCGGTTTTCCCAGGATTTAGCTAACAGGGTAGCAGACATGCTGCAGATGCCCCTGGAGGAGGTAAAAAATACCCATCACAAGTTCCTTGACATCTTATACTCTTCCTCATCCTCCGGAATAGCCCTCCCAATCAATGAGACCCTTCTGGAGCCAGCCAAGACTATCTAGCAAACCCTAGCATCAGTGATGCCTACCTGTAAACAGGCTGATAAAAACAGTTACATCCTGACTGATGTAAGGAACTGAAAAACCAAAATTTCTTTTTTATCACCCTCCTCCTAATTCCATTGTCATCGACATGGTAAAATCTTGGGCCTGCCAGCACCAAGTGAGATGCACTCCTTATGACAAGGATTGGAAACACCTGGGCCTCTTCAGGAGAAAGGCCTACTCCTCTGCCACATTGCAATTTAGAATGGCAAATTATCAAACTTTAACAGATAAATATGACTACATCAGTTATACAAAGCTCAACACTTTTATTGATCAACTCCCAGAGTCACACTGTGACCAGTTCGAGCTATTATCCATGAGGGACAACTAGTAGCTGAAACAGTGCTCCAGTCAGCTCTCAATACAGCTGACACAGCTGTCCATCTCCACTGTGGTGGTTATGAGGCAAGCGTCTTGGTTATACCTGTCTGGCTTCCCTAAGGAAGTGCAAATGACCGTAGAAGACCTTTCCTTCAAAGGCACCACATTATTCGGTGACATATCCCTCTATATCCTTAAAGATTCCAGGGCCACTCTTCACTCAGTGATCTATACTCCTGAACAAAAGAGAAAGTTTAGTCCACAACCTCAACATAAATCCCACACTTCACAATTCCGAACCAAGTGTTTGAGTCTCAGAGAAAGAAATCCAGTTTTTCCAACACCCTTCCTCATCCCACTTCAGAGACCCTTCTCACAAGAGTTTACTAAGATAAGTAACAGATCTCCTCCTCCGGTTAGAAGCCATAGAACCAGTACCTCAATGTCTGTGAGACAAAGGTTTTTACTCTCATTACTTCCAGATACCCAAAAAGAAAGGGAGGTTGGGGGCCCATAACGAATCTCAGAGCTCTAGACAAATTTGTCAAAGCTCAAAAATCTTGGATGGTCACACCAGCAATGATTATCTATCTCTGGAACAGGGAGATAGGCATCCTGTAGATCAAGGGCTGAAAACCAATTTCCACATATCGATCCTACCTTCAAATAGATGATTTCTCAGATTTACCCTGGGCAAGGACGACCACCAATACAGAGTACTTCCCTTTGGCCTCTCCTCCGTGCCAAGAGTATTCTCCAAAGTCCTCTCCATATTGTGGGTCACCTATGCTCCCGGGAGATCATGATCTACCACTACGTAGATGATTGTCTCCTCAGAGCCTGCTCCTTCAACAAGGCCCACAAGGTTACCAAAACCTCAGTAGACTTGTTCATGGAACTGGGACTGCAGATCAATGTCCAAAAATCAACCTTCACCCCTCTACAGCGCCTAGATTTCATAGGAGCTGACCTTGACTTGTTACAGGCCAAAGCGCTCCTACCACAGCACAGGTTCCACAGCTTGGCCACATTCATAGAGACAGTACAAAACAGCCCTCAAATATCAGCCAGACACTGCCTCCAACTCCTGGGGTATATGGCCCAGCAGTGATACCTCATGCTAGACTTTACATGTTGTGCCTCCAGATATGGTTCAGCTCAATCTACAGATTGAAGAGAGACAGATTAGACAAACCTCTGTCACTACTCACCAAGGTCAAAAACTTTCCTGGATTGGTGTAAAAATCAAGCAAATGATTGCAGGGGATTCCCTTTTCACCATCATTACTTCTCACCACCGACACATCCCTCATAGAATGAGGCGCACATCTAAATGACCTTAAAACACAAGACAAATGCTCATCCACAGAGATGTCCCTCCACATCAGCCTCCTCAAGCTCAGGGTGGTCAGGAATGCCTGTACCCATTTTCTCCCACTGATCAAGGGAAGACACACAAAAGTCTTAACAGACAACATAGCATTATACACTACATAAATTGGCAGGGAGGAGCCAGGTTTCCCTCCCTTTGTGCAGAAGCACTAAAGTTATGGAACTGGTGCATTTCCCACAACATCACATTATCAGTGGCCTACCTTCCAGGAGTACAAAATTCAATAGCGGACAGCCTTAGTTGCAAATTCCCACACAATCACAAATGGGAGATAAATCCAGCAGTGCTTCAGGACCTGTTCAGGCAGTGGGAGACACCGACCACAGACCTGTTCGCCACTTACCTAAACAAGAAATGTCCACGCTACTGCTCCAGCACAGGGATAGGGCAAAATTTATTGGGCGACACTCTCCTTCTGTGTGACAGGGACCTTCTCGATGCCTTTCCCCCATTTCCCCTGCTGTCAAAAGTCCTATTAAAAACAAAAAGAGAAGGAGCACACATCATACTGACTGCTCCCACCTGACTGAGACAGACTTAGTACCCTTACCTGTCACAAATGGCTACGGGCCCACTGATCTCTCTCCAACCCATGCCATACCCAGAACGAAGGACGCACTCTACGTCCCAACTTGAGGATACTCCGCCTCAAGGCTTGCCTCTTTCATGGTTCCAGTGCATAGAAAGGTCCTGCTCAGGAGGTACAAGAAGTGTTACTACACAGTAGGAAATCCACTACATGTCATACTTACCTGCAGGAGTGGTCCAGGTTTCAGGTTTGGTGTAATTCCCAACAAATTTCCCTGACATCCGATACTTTTCCAGTGGTCCTAGACCATGTACTGACTCTCAAAAAATTAGGACTATCTCTCAGTTCACTCAAAGTTCACTTTGCGGCTATAGCAGCCTTCCATCGATAAGTAGAGGGATACTCACACCGAACCACAAAACAATTCCTCAGGGATATAATAAAACTTTTCCCTCAACCCAGACATCCCACTCCAACATAGGACCTAAACTTAGTACTGAAAAACCTAACTAGACGTCTCTTTGAATGCATAGCTACTTGTTCGCTCACATACCTGTCGATGAAGACCGCTTTCCTGGTGGCGATCACCTCAGCAAGGAGAATTGGGGAAATAGCAGCACAGATGGGACCCTCCCCCGCAACCCGCAATATTGTTTCGGGACAAGCCACTCTAAGACCGCACCTGAAATACATCACCAAAGTGACCTCCTCCTTTCACATAAACCAACTGATTCACTTCCCGAGCTTTTACCCCAAGCCTCACTGTAATAACAGGGAGGCTATACTGCACACACTAGACATTAGGAGAGCCCTGGCTTTTTACCTGGATAGGACAAAGGCTTTTTAGGACATCTCCTGTGCTTTTCCTTTCTGTTGCAGAGATCTAAAGGCTCAGCGCTATCAGCCCAGAGACTCTCCAAGTGGATATTGAACGGTCTTAAACAATGCTATCAGGTTTGCAACATAACACCTCCATACGGTATTCGCGCTCACTCCTGAGGTCTGTCTCCTCCTCTGTTGCCTTCCTCAAGAATGTCCCTTTGTCAGAAATCTGTATAGCAGTAACCTGTGTGTCTGCTCATACCTTCACAGAACATTATGCAGTAACCAGAAACTCAACTCTGAAGCCCCAGTCCTCCAGTAGGAATACTGCTCGGGAGTCACTTACAGTGGGAGCACCTATAGGGGACATAGCTCGAAGAAGAAGAGGAAGTTACCTTGTGCAGTAACGATGGTTATTCAAGATGTGTGTTCCTTTGGGGGCTTCACAAACCACCCTCCTCCGCTCTACTTTAGAGTTCTTGCCAAGGACTCCACAGTAGAGAAAGAACTGAGGGGGGTTCGCCCACGCGCTCTGGTTAACCTTGTGTCAGGGCACAATGAGGACAGTGCATGTCGGACACTATTACCAACTTTCTCTGATCGGCAGCACAGGGACGTTAGTGCATGTACAGTGGAGCACCCATAGGGAGACACATCTCGAGGAACCATCGTTACTGCACAAGGTGAGTAACTTCCTCTTTCCAGGTCCCATTATCAACTGCCTGAGCTATACAGACCCACTAAACAAGGGTATAAATGTCCAGTACAGTCTCTTCTGAGGCTGGTTGGCTAGAGAATAGCGAAGGAGACACTGCTCAGGAAGCTGATTGTTAAAAAAAAAAAATGTTAAAATCCTTTTCATTAATCTAGTAGTATGATCTGGAAAGTGTTTGTCTAGTATAATCTAGTGCAGCGGTTCTCAAATTGTGTCGGGACCCCAAAGTGGATCAGGACCCCCTTTGAATGAGGTCACCAGGGCTGGCTTACACTTGCTGGGGCCAAGGGCTGAAGCCCAAGCCTCACTACTGAGGGCCAAAGCCTGAGGGCTTCAGGACTCAGGTTGCAGGCCCCCTGCTTGGGGCTAAAGCCCTGGAGCTTCAGCTTTGGCCCCCCTGCCCGGAGTGGTGGGACCTGGGCTTTGGCAGGCTCAGGCTTCGGTCCCCTGTCCTGGGGTCATGAAATAATTTTTGTTGTCAGAAGGGGGTCGTGGTGCAATGGAGTTTGAGAACCCCTGATCTAGTGCAACCAAGGGTTTCATACCACACCTCTCACTGTACTGATTCCAGTCCAGTATCCATTATAACTAGTTTATAGTTTTGCTTGTGCTACTTACAGAATTTCATGATTATTTATTACATACTGCACCAATATTGGTAGTATTACATACTACCAATAATTAAATTTTTATTTTTATATAATTTCAGCAGATAAAATCTGTTTATTGTAAAGCTTTTTAATCTATTTAAATTTTCACCATTACGCATAATTATGGGTTTAAAGCATTTTTGGTTATCAATTTAAATATTCGCAGTTACAGGAAATTATGAGGGTCAGGCAATAATTATTTAATGTCAGTAGATGTTGAGATTCAAAAAGTTAAAGCTTTATAAACCACTAAAACACAAATTTTATATTTTTACTAGAGCTGTTGATTAATCACAGTTAACTTGTGATTAATATTTTTTAAATGGCGATTAAAAAAAATTGTGATTAATCGCAGTTTTAATTGCACTGTTAGATAGTAGGATAACAATTGAAATGTATGAAATATTTTGGATGTTTTGCTACATTTTCAGATATATTGATTTCAGTTAACAACATAGAATACAAAGTGTACAGTACTCACTTTATATTATTTTTATAACATATTTGCACTGTAAAAATCATAAACAAAAGAAATAGTATTTTTCAATTCACCTCATATAAGTACCATAGTGCAATCCCTTTATCGTGAAAGCGCAACTTACAAATGTAGATTTTTGTTTGTTTGTTACATAACTACTCAAAAACAAAATAATGTAAAATTTTAGAGTCTACAAGTTCATTCAGTACTATTTCTTGTTCAGCCAATCGCTAAGAGAAACAAGTTTGTTTCCATTTACGGGAGATAATGCTGCCCGCTTCTTATTTACAATGTCACCTGAAAGTGAGAACAGATGTTCACATGGCACTTTTGTAGCTGGCATTGTAAGGTATTTACATGCCAGATATACTAAACATTCATATGCTCATTCATGCTTTGGCCATCATTCCAGAGGACATGCTTCCATGCTGATGACGCTTGTTAAAAAAATAATGCATTTATTAAATTTGTGACTGAACTCCTTGGGGGAGAATTGTATGTCTCCTGTTCTGTGTTTTACCTGCATTCTGCCATATATTTCATATTATAGCAGTCTCAGATGATGACTCAGCACGTTGTTCCCTTTAAGAACACTTTCACTGCAGATTTCAAGAAGGTACCAATGTGAGATTTCTAAAGATAGCTACAGTACTCAACCCGAGGTTTAAGAATCTGAAGTGCCTTCCAAAATCTGAGAGGAACAAGGTGTGGAGCATGCTTTCAGAAGTCTTAAAAGAGCAACACTCCAATGCAGAAACTACAGGACCCAAACCACCAAAAAAGAAAATCAACCTTCTGCTGGTGGGCATCTGACTCAGATGATGAAAATGAACATGTGTTGGTCTGCGTTGCTTTGGATCGTTAGCAAGCAGAACCCATCATCAGCATGGACGCATGTCCTGTGGAATGGTGGTTGAAGCATGAAGGGACATATGAATCTTTATTGCATCTTGCACGTACATATCTTGCAACACCAGCTACAACAGTGCCATGCGAATGCCTGTTCTCACTTTCAGGTGACATTTTAAATAAAGTGGGCAGCATTATCTCCTGCAAATGTAAACAAACTTGTTGTCTGAGTGATTGGCTGAACAAGAAGTAGGGATTGAGTGAACTTGTAGGTTCTAAAGTTTTACATTGTTTTATTTTTTAATGCAGTTTTTTTTGTACATAATTCTACATTTGTAAGTTAAACTTTCATGATAAAGAGATTGTACTACAGTACGTGTATTAAGTGAATTGAAAAATACTATTTTATTTTTACAGTGCAAATATTTATAATAAAAATAAATATAAAAGGAACACTGTACACTTTGTATTCTGTGTTGTAATTGAAATCAATATATTTGAAAACATGGAAAATATCCACAAATATTTATATAAATAGTATTCTATTATTTAACAACGCGATTAATCACGATTATTTTTTTTAATCGCTTGACAGCCCTAATTTTTACGTGAGGCTGACAAAGTAAATAGCCTTAAATCAAAAGAGCATACCTGTATTTACTATTCATTCACTAGTCCATTTGTAAGAAGCCTAATTCAAAAGTCTAAATCACCAGATTTTGACTGTAGTAAGTTCTCGAGCAGCCATTTCTTACTTTGCCTGTCTGTAAATTTCAGTTATCATCTATGGGAATATATTTTCATATATATTTGTGGTTTGTGTGTATACCATGAAATAGACATTTACCTACATTTACCAATAAAAATCTAATCCTTCTAAACCTATTTATGGGCATTCAAGATACTGAATTTAGTTGCAAAGAATCAGTTGAGGGTTACAGTCTGAGAATTTCTGTTGACCATACTTTATAAAATTTTCCACTTTCTCCAGTGTCCATTTTCTCTCATTCCAATAATTCTCAGTTTCTTAATTGTAGCTGTGTTTTCCAGGGTATCGAAAACTGTTCAGCCATGCTTTATTGTCATATAGGAATTCATTAAACCTGGAACAACTGCCAAATTGGTCTCTCTTATGTTTTTCAATGCTAAGATTCCTGAGAGGGAAGATATGTGTGCTTATGGTCTTTCCAGCCTCCCAGTCATGGTGTGCAGTGTTGGGGTTTTTTGTTTGATGTTTTACAAAGTTTCATTTTGGAGCTGGCATTTTTAGCACTGCGTGGTGGCTCAGCCTATTTCTCCCTTGAATGCTGGTCCCTATGTGTATTCCACTGTTGGTACACACGTGCTCCATGTGCCTGAGACTGGAGATTTCTAGCA